CTGGAGGTGGCCTGCCTTGGTGGTCCACGTCTCCGCACCATACAAGAGGGTCGTGAGGACGACAGCCTCATAGACACGCCTCTTGCTGCGAAGCGACAGGGTCTGGTTATCAAAGACAGGAGCTTTGAGGGCTCCGAACACAGCTGAGGCTTTCGCAAGGCGAGAGCGGACATCAGCACAGGCAAGACCATCCGAGGAGAGACACATACACACGCACGCACACTTGCCACGCGCGTGCATGCATACTTTCACTTAGCAACAAGGTGCTGTTGTCTTGGATACAGAACGTGGCCTGAGTAGGCACGTCAATGATTATGTACATGCATTATGTCAAGAGTAGATAAACAAGAGTGTGCAACTCGCGGATGGGTTGGCCCACGGCGGAATTTTTTGTTGACGTAATCTTTTCGACGACGCACGCGCTGCGAGCCTTTTGGAGAGTTTTCCCCTCGTGCACTTGGCTGGGCTTTACACTACAAGGTCGGTGCCCAGCACGTGCTCTCACACTGCTCTGCGGCAAAATCCGCGTTTCTCTGAAAAAAGGTGACGTAAACCAAAAATTCCGCCGTGGGCGCGGGGTATCTGCAGATTGTGCAGGAGAGATCCGGAGTTGCACACTCTTGTTTATCTACTCTTGATTATGTATGTCTATCGTCGAGTTGACAGGGTTGTTCAACTCTTTTTTCCCTACAAATTCAGCCCCTCAGGAACTGTTTGCCCCGTAAGATCACCCCCCCCCCCCACCACCACCACCTGGGCCACCCCGGTACTTTATATAAGACAAGACCGGGTAGCCATGATGCCACCACTAGCCCTTTCCCAAAGGTGCTCTTTTAATTCGCACTTAGTGCTTTTCGCGTCCCTCAAAATATGCTGAAAAAGTGCTCTTTTTTCAGTGAAAACAGGCAAAAAGTGCTCTTTTCAGTGAAGCATAGCCATGATACATGTTCAGATATGAACCCAAGCTGAGAAATGAATACGCACTCTTCCACTCTTATGGGTCCACGAAAGGCAAATCAGGAAGTATAGTTAAAAAAAAACCACTTTTTACAGCATTGTGTACACCGGGTCCGGGTATAAGATTCACCAACTTGCTGCCCCCCAAAAAAGCGGCGTGCCAAGGCCCATCGATCGATCGAGCACTCGGAAACTGTGATGGCATGCATGAGCAAACAGCTTTTAGCACTTTTTCAGCTAAAAAAGCTCAAAAAGGGCGATATTCACCAAAAACGCAATAAAGGGCGAAAGAAACGGGCTTTTCCAAAAAGGGCCAAAAGGGCGAAAAAATGGGCGAGCACCTTTGGGAAAGGGCTAGCCACCACCCCACATCATCATGGTTATGGACTCCTGGCGTGCAGTGTGTAGCGTGAACATGCTAGTCAGAAAAGTAGTTAGGTGTAGCAGCGTGTCTATTGTGACGCACATGGAAATGGCTCTAAAAGGCGGACGTTCAGAGTGGTAGATCTACTAAGCTGAAGGGACCGTGCCAATACTTTGTCACTCCCTTTGAACTTGAATTCTCACTTGACTGACTCGCGACTGCCATCCAGAGCATACGAGAAGTCCATCGAACCGTCCACTCGGAAAACCTGCAAGAAAGCACCACTCCCTGCTCAATACACAATGTTTCGGGGAATTCACCCCATAACAGTTGAGCGGCTTGAGTAGGCTGAGGAAGATTGTGTCTGAAGAGCACCACTTACATGTATACTAGTATAGTGCTCTCCAGGCATAAACATCACCAGGGATACAAACTTACAGAGACGCTCCGTTTCCAGCGCGACAAACACCTCGTGAACACCAGGTAGCAGCGTGAGTCAGTGTCGCTCATGGAGGTGCTGAATTCCCCGAAACACTGTGTATTGAGCAGGGAGTGGTGCTTTCTTGCAGGTTTGCAGAGTGGACGGTTTGATGGACTTCTCGTGTGCTCTCTATGGCAGTCGTGAGTCAGTCCAGTGAGAATTCAAGTCGGCAGGAAAACCGCGAGCTCCCATGTAGGGAGCAACACGCTCTTCTCCTAATTTCGCCGAAGTCGCACCAACCTCTTCTTCACTCCCTTTGAAGTACAGTATAATATTATTCAATAACGCAAAGTGTGCTTTTGACGTTTTTCACTAGTGTCTGTGCTATGGAACGTAATGTGCTGGGCAGTGCAGAGGGGGAGGGAGGGAGAGAGAAAGAGAGAAAGAAAGAAAGAGAGAGAGAGAGAGAGAGAGAGAGAGAGAGAGAGAGAGAGAGAGAGAGAGAGAGAGAGAGAGAGAGAGAGAGAGAGAGAGAGAGAGAGAAAGAGAGAGAGAGAGAGAGATTAATATACATGTACATGTAGGCGGAGAGAGAGAGAAAAGGGGAGAGAGAACGATCGCGACTACCCACCACACACCTGTCATCCTCTGGTTTTCCTGTTTTGTGATAGATAAAAGCGATGACAAGTTCGGGTGTTGGAGTGTTGGTACATTAGGAAACTGTAGTACATGTAGTCAGTGATTGCGATTGTTGTACATGTATTTGTTCGTTTGCTCATTATATTCTTCACCTGCATTACATCATGGCACATACATGTACACTGTAGGATATGCCTCTGGCAATCAGGAAATCAGGACACGGCACGTAACTGATCTACCCCACTTTGAGATTTGTTGTTTTGAAATGTTCTTATGACTTAAGAGTTTAGAAGTTCACGAAGATAAGTTTATGAATTTGAGAAACAGTAGTTTTCAAGGTACCTGGATGATGGGGGGGGGGGGCGGCGATTATTTATTTATTTGTTCCACGTCCCCTAACATGTACTTCATGTAGACTAGTTGCCAACCAAAGGGGAGTGGGTGAAAGCCAACCACAGCTGAAGAACGTAAAGAAATATAAATAGGAAGAAATGAGGAAGAAGGAAAAGAAAAAAAAGAAAAGGTACAACTAGAAGGTGACTATTGAAGTGCTGAAAACTGGACGGAAAAGTCTCGATAACAAGTAGACATTCGAAATGGGCAAAATCCCCCTGTAGTATAACAGGCTAAATACACCAGCATCATCAAGTAGCTGTAGTACTACATTGTAGTAGTACTAGTAGCTCCTCCAACACAACTGCCTGGTCTGTCTGCACTGTGCCACATCAACAACATCTCTAGAGATGGTGGAGGGTGAAGATGGCATGTCGCTGTCATTATTATTATCGCTTCGTTTGAATGGTGTCCTCAGACAATCGATGCCACTCCGCTCGTCAAAACTGTCATCTCTACGCTGCTGGTCCAGTGTCTTGCTGGTCAGTGCCTCCTGCACAAAATCTGATAACATGGAAATGCGAAAAGCCCACCCAAGTTCTTATCATCACGTCCATTGGGAGGAGAAACGGTAATTTAGGAATTTGCTGCCTGCTCTCTGTCTGTCTCTATCTGTCTCTATCTGTATCTGTGTCGGTGTTTGAGTGTAACGCTATGCGTGTGTCTGTATGTGTCTCTCGGTGTCTATCGCTCTCTTCCTTTTTGTAGATACACACGACGTTCAGCACTTCAGCTACATGTACATGCTGGCCCATTCCGGAAACCGAGGAGGCTAGTACATGTACTACCACTGACACTGTACCAGCTCTACTACACTAGTCTACAGTACTAGCTATGCATGATGGCGTGCACCACAACACATTCCTGGTTTCCATCACCTCACCATCACACAGGCAACCGGCAAAGACGTTTTCACCCAAAGTGTTTACAATTCTCAACCAGTTCTCTCCCGTAGGACCAATGCCAACGCCAACGGTTCATTCATCACCCACACCTGGCAATGGTTCATTCATCACCCACACCTGACCCACACCTGCACCTGCAGCACAATGTACATGATTGTATTGCAATTCCGCACAGTACTAGTAGTATCTTTGTCTGCGGTGAGCAACACCAGAAAAGTTAGTTTGATTCAGGCAAATATAACGTGCCAGGTCCAGTTCTGAGTTGAAACACAGTCAGCTGGTCTTGAACACAGTCAGCTGGTCTTGAACACAGTCAGCTGGTCTTGAACACAGTCAGCTGGTCTTGAACACAGTATGTCACGAACGCAGGCTGCACGAGAGAACTATTTTAAAGTTTTAACTGGTTTGAGGGAAAGAGTTAAAGTTACTTGAGTCGCAGTTGTTTTACCCAGTACACTGCACTATGACCTGCCGGTCGTCAACCGACAACAGACATGGGATAGTTCTCAAAGAGTCATTCAAGACCTCCTCCAAGCACCTGCGGGCAAGGCAAGGTGATAGACGTGTCGCTACCCAAGTTCTAGACAGGTTGCGTATCACATAATTATACTCCTCGCGCCACGCTGCTCGCTATTCACCATTTTACTCTCACACCACGCTCCGCGCCACCCCTACAAACATTCCGTGACAGTGAGTGGTGCTTTACTCCTTTAGCCGGCCAAGAGGCAAGATGTATGCCCGAGGAAGATGCAAGCGGTCCCTCAACTGCACAGCCAGGCAAACTCTCCTGAGACACATGAACAATATGTTTGGGTAAAGTATTGTTTTCACGGTGGTTGACTAGCTGGCTAGCTACCTATCATGCCAGCCAGTACACGGCTGCTCCCCTTCGTGCGGTAAATAAAGGCAGTACAGTGTATACCATTGCCTACTGCAGACTGGCTACATAACTGGCTGCTCCACGTGTCAGGTGACTTGCAGGATTTCGGACGAGCAGCGTGTCGGCATCTTTGAGGACGCCTGCTGCCGGCGCTGGTGCAGCAGCTAGCATATTCCGATGACAACAACATTATAAACTGTGCGGTGGGTGAATGGGCACATGACAATGTCCCTGACACTATCATCACTGTCACTCTCATAGTCATACTCTCAGCAGTAAGTCTACTAAGTGTAGCACTCGGGTACATCCAGGCCATGGTCTATTATGCTGATCTTTTCGTTCTATTTGTCTAGCTATCGTATCGATCGTAGAGCTCGAGCGCTGTCTGACTGACTGTGGCTTGCAACCATCCTGCCTCACCGAGTGATATTGCTGCTCGTTGTTGTCATGCTGCAGGGGCAGGCCCAACGATTCTCCTCATAAACGTCGCTGAACTGGCCCAGACACTGGTGATATGCATAGTGATAGTGGTAGGCGATTGCAGGTGTCAATGGTCTGCACCTGAATCGGATAGGTTTGAAAATATAAGCCTCACAGGTGATGATTGCGTTTTCAATTGGCTTGCAGGCTAGGTAAGAGTAGGGTGAGTCACGCAAAGCAGCTATATCCAACTAGAACCTATCCTAAATTATACCTGGATTATTAGCAAGTGGCTTGTGGTAATACAGATCCGTGTGCAGAGGATTGGGGCGAGAGAGTGTGTGCGCGCGTCCAACCGTGGACGATATCTCCCACCAGTCTTGTAGACGTGCCTGAAATAGTGTTGCACAGTAGTTGCTTTGTCCCGAGGCTGAGCAGGAAAGAAGGCGATCACGGACTATCAAGTGTGCCAATGAAATCGTGGTCCATTGTTGAGCAGCAGCATATCAGCTAGACAACGAGCGACGTGCCCGCTATTGTCAACATGACAAGAACAGGCGAATCTGTCCACCTCCTGCTGTTCAGTCTTGTCATTGTAACAGGTAATGTGCTCACAGCCATGAGTAATTGTAATGTGCTCACAGCCATGAGTAATTGTAGTGTGCTCACAGCCATGAGTAATTGTAATGTGCTCACAGCCATGAGTAATTGTAACAGGTAATGTGCTCACAGCCATGAGTAATATTATTATTATTGTACAATCAACTAATACTAGTCTAGGCTCTTCTTTTGAAATGTTCATCCCTTATGATGATTACGTCGTGCAGTTTGGTGATTACGTGGTGCTGTGTGCACTGTGCAGTGTGCAGTGTGCAGTTTGGTGAGGCCCAGGCCAGCAACATACATGTAGGATCAGCATATCCTTGCAGCGCGAACCACACCTTCCAGCCTTGAGCTCATACTTCATATCAGTCCAGTACTGCAGTAGCGTGATCAGTAGCGTGATCCCAGTAGCGTGATCCCTGCAATTATTTCACGTCCTCATAGCCCTTGGTGGATAATGGTGGCAGAATAATCGCCAGCAGAATTTCCAGAATTTAGTACTTTTTCTGGAATGTTTCATTCATAATAATATTATTAAATAATATTATTATACATTTGTTGGTATCTGGGTAAAGAAGATAGCGGAATTCGAGGAATTGCTTGCCATAAGCTTAGTATGATCCTGCCAATTTTACTTCTTTTCGAGCATTGTCCGCCAAGGCCTACTGCACGCCCAAGGGCAGTAATGGGTGGTCACGCGCTCATAAACCCAGCATGGTTTGAGTCGCTCATCCTTCTACAGCTTTGGATTCATTCCTCTTGCCTCCTCTCACCTCCTCTTGCCACCTTTACATGTACATGTACATGGCGTGTTAGCCTCTCCTGCAAGAAGTCGCCGAAGTTAGTTGTCCCACTGCAGTGCATGCATGGTGGTTGTTTTCAGTGCCTAGCGAGGTCCTTATGTAAACGAGTACCCGCCGAACTGAACGACCAGTTGATGCTGCACTCCCTGCAAATACCCCCTAGACACCATTTGACCTAGTCAGTAGTTGGTGACATTCCTTGTGGACGTTCCTTCTCATTTGCATCACCAAGTAGTAGGCAAGTACCCATGTACAGTAGTTGCCGCCTTGCTTTCCCCATTTTCCCTACAATACATGCTGTCAATTGACGAAGAGGTTCTCGGCGGCCAGTAATAAAACCACAGACTCACGCAATCAGAGCAACTTAATACACACCCAATTATCAGATTTCCTGACGGCACAATTCCTTGCTGGATTTTGTCACTGTCGTGCGGATTTGTGGGAAAGATGTCGCCGCTGCCGGGCTGGCTGAATATGTTTGTGGGGAAGGAGGTATGTGACACGTGAAATGAAAGTGGGTATGCTACTCACGATAATTATTACTGATATTTAACTGAGTTTCGCATCGCACTACGCCTGTCCCAATTGTAATCATACTCATGCTATACTCATAGACGAGTCATTGGACTGTACATGAGGATTGTCGAGAAGTTTGCCTTTATTTGACTCAAACTGGTTGTCGGAAACTGGATGATGCACGGGATGAAGAGCTCAAAGAGGGCAAACAAAGAAAGCAATGGTGACGAATCCAGTCCATTTTACCTCACTACCGGTATCCCTCTTCAGTCTTGCGTGACACAGTAGCATGTGCTAAGGGAAATGAACCCCCAGGTCACAGATGCGGCTCATCCTGATTCCTGAAGCTTGACACAACATTGCGGTTCGATTTCCTCGCCTCAACACTAGCAGTGCAGTTTCGCCTCGGGCCACGTATTCGCGTAACACCCGGACACTCGATATCAGATCTACTGAGTCCTGTAGATCTAGTACATGTACCAAGAGTACATCAACTGTTATGTACTCTAGTCTTGGTAGTACCGGTAGATCTACTACTCGTACAAGCTTGCAAGCTTCATCGTCATCAGACTCATCACCATGATCACGCGTGCTGATCATGACACTTTTGTATCACGTCATGTCAGCGCATGATTTCTGCAGTAAATGACTTGACCCCGGGGCTCCACGCCCCGCCCCGGCCACGGCCACATGACTAAATAAAGCAGTAAAGCTAAACATCCTGCTTATAAAAGCTACTTCTGTTCTGAAGTAAAGCCAATAATTAATTTATTTTTGTCTTGGCCGGCCTGAGCTGAGCCTGGAGGCGTATGGTCACACTTTTTCGTTTTATTGTCAGCAATTAGTTACGAAGTATTTCCTGGACGAACGATCCGTTTCTGACAGGTGAAGTGCTCTTGCAAGTCGTTAGCGGGATTAGCGGAATGTGGGAAGGAAGACATAAATACATGTCATGTAGCTGGATGTCACTCGTCAGTATTGAGGAAAGGTAGCACAGCAACTTCATCCCGGTCCAGTTAGGAGATACATAGAGGTACATGTAGTTGGCAAGTAACAGTTGGTTTAGTGTTCTTTTTTTGCAATGGCCTACCGGTATACTAGTATTGAGGAGTCCGACGGCTTCGCTAAAAATGCCCTGCTGCTGCTGCTGCTGCGAAAGAGCATTTCAACCAAGGTACATGTACATGCACATAATGTTACTTGTACTAGTTGTAGTTCCATAGCTGTTAGCTGTTATTATTATTATAACTGTTGCCTTTGCAGCATGCGAGATAGTGTCAAGTAGCGGGAACGAACTGTCTTTTCGGACCAAGGTCGATCGTACCTGCCGCAATTCGCAACACAACTGTGCATGAGTAGCTGCTAGTAGCCGATGGTCTCAAGAACGTTACGTTTAGCTGGATGAAGTAAACAAGGCACTACATGTATTTCGTACTACTGCAGCAGTACTGGGATTGATCACTTGTACAACTGAGTTGTAGTTCTGGTGGTGAAGTGACATGATTGTTGACCACGTGGCAACCCACTCATGATCAGTTTATGTCTCAGAGACCCTTTGGGAAAGAGGCAGTACACACCGTGTCAATGTTGGCTTACATGTCTGAAGGACGGCACTGCACATAATTATCTACTTCAACTTTGTCTCCCGTCTAAGTGTCCATAAAGAGCTAATGGCATTAATGTCATTAATTGGCAAGGGTCATTACGTAATGCCGCTGCACCTGCCCCTGCTGCTCATGTTCTGCTCCTCATAAACCCTAAAACTTGTAGCTACTCCACTGAGGAGATTTGTGCAAGAATGCCAACATGTGGAAGTGGGAAAAGCCACACTGAGCCACTCCAAGCGATCTGGGCCAGAGGTACATGAAGGTCACTACATACAGTGCAGACTACAGTCAGGGTACCTACCTACACTACAGTCAGGGTACCTACCTAGTACCTACACTACAGTCCATTCAGCTAAAGATGAGCGCTGGCTCTGGAGAGCTCCCGTGTTTGGCGATTTTGTGGTACACTGACACTGTGCAGTGCTGCGCGATTCGAAACTTGAGAAAGGGTCAAAAAAGGCACCTCAACTGGGGTTCGAACCTCAAATGTACTGTTATGCAAGTGGAGTGAACGGCCTGGATTTTCATGGTTTTTACCCAATTCAGTGCTTTGGGGGCGAAACCTGGCCGAAATCCTATTCTTGTTATGGCTTGCTTTTTGGAGAAATCGACTTCAAAAACACAATTGGAAGAGCATTCCATGGGGGATTGCCAAACATTGTAACGAAAACTCAAAATTTGACCCGTTTATGGCCAAAAGCTAGGATATCAAGTTTTTCTGAATGGACTATAGCAGGCTGTGTTGTTCTCCAGGTTTGCAATTCCCTGGCACTGGCACTTACCATGCATCACCCCTTCAAGGGGTGCTTCACTAGTGCAGTATGCATGTGTCACACCTAATGGTGTCTTTGAAGTCACTGAGTACATTATGCGCCACACTTTTACCCTTTGCTTATTGTGAGCTACACAAAGAGGGCCGATTTCTGAGAGCCTGACACAAGATCATGTCGCATAGGAATGAGCCTTGGTCATCATAAAGCTGCCCAGTGTTGCACAGATTGGTTAATAGTAGACATTAAGTGACTATTATCCCCCCCCCCCCCCCCCCCCCCGCTCCCTGCACCCACAGGGGGATTGACAGTATAATAATTATTATTGACCTTGGTGTTGTTTAGGTAGTTACTAAGTTACCTAAGAGTGACCTGCAAAATACCGGCATCATGCGAGTCACTCTAATAATACTGAGTGATTTGCAGAAGGTTGGTGGCTGGGACACATCGACAACCTCTGACCAACAGCCAAGGAACAGAATACTGCTGCTGCTGCTGCAGTGCAAGCCAATAACCTGAAGAAAGAAAGAAAGACAGGCAGACTAAAGGAAGTCAAAACAAGCGCACTAGTGTTCCCCGCGTACATGCACTGCATCAGGAGCAGCAGCACTGTGAGAATGATGATAGATCAAGCCAGCAGGCAGAACCCAAGACACAGCTCAGTCCTGTGATGGTGATAATTGAGCTGAGATTATAGTCTTTGCTGGAAAATCCTGTAGAACCTTTTACTTAATAGTTGTTGACTGGTATGTACTGGTATGTTGTGTGCATTCAGGTATATCAGCTGAGCATGCCCAGCTGCCATGTACAGAGTGGTCATATGCTGGTGAGTCAGTGGCATGTAACGTTGCGTTTGCAGCTCTAACTATTTAGAGCTGTGTCTGCCCGGTTGTGTATGTGTGTGTGTGGGGGGGGGGGGGGGGGGGGGAGTTCACATGCGGACGTATGCGTGTGCATGTGTGTATGTGTGTGTATCATGAATCCGCGGGGGCACGATACATGTACCAGTACATTGCTATGTTGATGCTGTCATCACAGTCCTCATGCTAACCAAAGTCTTTTCTGTTGTATTTGGTGACTGTTTTTCCTGATAGACCAGGACAATTGGCCGGATACACACTGCACTGGTAACAGCCAGTCTGGCATTAACATCGAGACCATCTCTACAGCATTTCACCCTGACTTCTCATCCCTGGCCATCGACACAGCGGAGAGCGGTGTCAGTGTAATGCTCCACAATGATGGGCACCATGTAGTTATCCGTGGCAATGGCCTGGAGGTGCTCGGCTTCCTCAGCGGTGGACCACTGTACAGTGACCAGACACTCTTCAGTATAGTGGAGGCAAGATTCCACTTCGGTGTGGTTGTCGATGGAGCTGTCGTCCGTGGCTCTGACCACTTGGTCGATGGCAATTCATATGCTGCTGAGGTAAGCATCCATACCTGTGAATACTGGTGGTCAATACCGGTGGTGGTCAATATCGGTGGTGGTCAATACTGGAGCTAATCGGCAGGTCTTGGTGCTGAGCAAAGGCTATACCTGCATGGGACATGGGAAGTTTCACCACCAGCATACACTTTACACTTTACACATACTGTTCTGTGCTCAGCGAGTGGATGCAGTTTGCCGGACTCGAATTAGTCACCGGCTCATTGACTTCTGGCGTCCTCCTTTTCAAGCCCTATTTATCAGCCACATATTTTCTGTGTAATTATTTTTTTCCTCGTGTGTGTTTGTGTGCGTGTGCGCGCGCACGCGCGTGTGTATGTGCTGTGCCCAACAGCTCCAATTCATTGCCTTCAACACTATGTATCCAAGCATGAAAGTGGCGCTTACACAACCTGGAGCTGTAGCGATTGTCTCAGTACTTTTTGAGGTAAGCAATCTAGCCCAACTCTGGGGCTGGCATCTATGCAAGGTGCACTTTTTGCAGTACTACACATGCCATACTATCTAGAAGGGGTGATCAAGAGAAAACAGACTGATAAGTCCAATCGCAGCTCATGCTACTGTCGTGGACATGGAAATCTGGTCAAATGACCGGTACCGGTACCCTCAGTGCGTACAGAACGTTGCAGTGGACCAGCGCTGCAGCGCATACCGGTAAATGAATGTGTGTACCGTATGCGTACTCACGGCTGCATGGCCAGCGCCCTGGGGCCGCTTGACCTCCGACCAGATTTTCATGTCCACGACAGGATCAGTGTGCTTCTGCATAACATGATCTGTTACCCAGTATGATTACCCAGGCCGATGTTCAATGGCTCAAAGTTCATTCTTGCCAGTGTTCAATGGCTCAAAGTTCATTCTTGCCAGTGTGCACTTTTAAGTTCTCGTTGAATTACTACTACACTGTATAGTGAAATTCAGTGCTTGCGCCGACACTATCTTTAAGGCGGTGTCTGGACTTTGGCAGACGAATGAAACTACGATCCTGATTTGAACATGGTGTACTGTACACGGTTGTTTTTATTACTACAGCATTGTAGTAATAAAAACAATGCTGTAGTAACTACAGCATTGTAACTACAGCATTGTAACTACAGCATTGTAAAGTGCAGGAACATACCTACTGTACATGAGAGTGGAAGTGCACAGAGGAGCGGAGTTAGTGAGGGGGGGGGGGGGGGTACATGTTTGGGGCAACGTGTATATCGGACTAAGCTCAAATACAACAGACAGTGTTTGCGAATGAAGGGAGATGCCTGTTTCAGGTGCGCACGGACCTTCACAGTACCCTTTCAGTGGACACACAACCACGCTGTGGTCCGATTTGACCATGGGCTCCATTTACCTTTTCTCTTCACTTACTACCGTACTGTCGGGCGCCGGAAAATGGAGCGCCGAAGAACGACCAGGCTGGAACTTTACCAAGCACAGCATACCGATGTATACACGGTGACTCGACGACACATAGACTGTAATACAGTCAAACCTCTTTAGGACGAACATCAAGGGACCGATGATATTTGTTCGCAATAACGGGAGTTCTTCTTATCCATATGTTTTACCCAGTGAATACACAGGGTTTTATCCAATACAGTTACGAATACTAGTTCTTCTTAGGCAAACATTTGTCTTATCAGTCACGGTTCTTCCTAACGAGGTTTCACTGTACATGAAAATATGAACGGTCCAGCAGGCTAGGAGGCTGACCGGCTCCCAGTTCTTGGGCCAGTCTTGGGTAACCGACAGTACTGTGAGTGGGGGCAGTCCATGCTGGTCTTTATGCCATGCTGGTCTTTATGCCATGCTGGTCTTTATGCCATGCTGGTCTTTATGCCATGCTGGTCTTTATGCCATGCTGGTCTTTATGCCATGCTGGTCTTTATGCCATGCTGGTCTTTATGCCATGCTGGTCTTTATGCCATGCTGGTCTTTATGCCATGCTGGTCTTTATGCCATGCTGGTCTTTATGCCATGCTGGTCTTTATGCCATGCTGGTCTTTATGCCATGCTGGTCTTTATGCCATGCTGGTCTTTATGCCATGCTGGTCTTTATGCCATGCTGGTCTTTATGCCATGCTGGTCTTTATGCCATGCTGGTCTTTATGCCATGCTGGTCTTTATGCCATGCTGGTCTTTATGCCATGCTGGTCTTTATGCCATGCTGGTCTTTATGCCATGCTGGTCTTTATGCCATGCTGGTCTTTATGCCATGCTGGTCTTTATGCCATGCTGGTCTTTATGCCATGCTGGTCTTTATGCCATGCTGGTCTTTATGCCATGCTGGTCTTTATGCCATGCTGGTCTTTATGCCATGCTGGTCTTTATGCCATGCTGGTCTTTATGCCATGCTGGTCTTTATGCCATGCTGGTCTTTATGCCATGCTGGTCTTTATGCCATGCTGGTCTTTATGCCATGCTGGTCTTTATGCCATGCTGGTCTTTATGCCATGCTGGTCTTTATGCCATGCTGGTCTTTATGCCATGCTGGTCTTTATGCCATGCTGGTCTTTATGCCATGCTGGTCTTTATGCCATGCTGGTCTTTATGCCATGCTGGTCTTTATGCCATGCTGGTCTTTATGCCATGCTGGTCTTTATGCCATGCTGGTCTTTATGCCATGCTGGTCTTTATGCCATGCTGGTCTTTATGCCATGCTGGTCTTTATGCCATGCTGGTCTTTATGCCATGCTGGTCTTTATGCCATGCTGGTCTTTATGCCATGCTGGTCTTTATGCCATGCTGGTCTTTATGCCATGCTGGTCTTTATGTATTACAGTAGACCTACCCTTATAACGATATTTGCGTCCGACCAAGAAATATTGTTATAAGGGTAATATTGTTATAAGGGTAATATTGTTATAAGGGTAACTAGATCATTCCTACCCATACGTCATAATGCTATGAATTTAGTTCATTTTTTGCACTCTTTATAGAGTCAAAAACGAATGTACATGTACATGCACATTATGTACACGGCAAGGTGCCCACGGGTGCCCCCATTGCATTTCGTCATGTCCCAGCGACTTATCAAGTGAAGCTCGCCCTACCTTGACAGTGGACTGTACATATTCCCTGCTGGATATTGTTATAAAATGGAAAATGTCGATTGGTCAGTCCATTTTAAATTGTTATAGGGGTAATATCGTTATAGCAATATTGTTATAGAGGTAAGGCATTGTATACGAAAGTCAATGGAGTGATTTGGTTTGACAGAAAAATATCGTTATAAGGGTAATATCGATATAGGGGTTATCGTTATAAGGGTAGGTCGACTGTACATGTACTGTGAAACATCAGCCTTGTAATGTATATTCAAGAGGCGTCTTCAAGTTGCCATGCAGACTGTCTCGTGCGCGCGCGTGTGTGTGTGTGTGTCACTGTGTGTATGTTTGCCGGATTGATGACTATGTTATTGTATGCAGCTAGGCGATGCCAGCAACAACGTTGATTTGAACATGTTCTTGGATACAGTGGCGTCAGAAGTCACGTACGAAGGTCAGTGGAGGATTATAGAAAAGCTGTCGCTTGAAGTCTAACGGGTTCAAGTGTCCCATATGGTGCAGTGGTATGTGCAGCAATTTCCAATCGATAGGTTGCGGGTTCGATTCCCGACGATTATGGTCACACACGTCTTTCTTCTCTTTCTCAGACTCCTCCTGACTTTTCTTTCATTCTCCTAGGTGGTTACCAACAGCCAGTGCATGCCGAAGTATGTGGTGTGATGTGTGTGCGTGAAAAAAAGAAGAAAAAATGAAAAAAGACCAAAAGTAGGGATTCACTGGCCAGAAAAAGCCACTTCATAGCTGTGTGGTGTAGACCAGGCTGAATAGTGGTGGTCAATTCTTCAGCCTTGCAAGCTGTTGAATGGTGCAATTCCAGCACAGGCTGCTATGGCTTCTGCTGTAGCATCGCTATGGCATCGCCTCTGGCGATGGGCGTCCAATGGTCCAATGGTCACCAGTGAGCAATAAGTGCAGGTGATAGAGAATTTCCTTTGATCATGAGTGGGACACCAGTAGTACAGCTCGTATGCTGGAAATATACTACAAGAGACGTTGGTCTATTTTGGAGAAAACATTCAGACAAAAATTTGCGACACATATGAGCAGAAGAAATGCGTCAAGTACTCTTTCGAAGTGAGAGGGGCCATGAATGCAATATGAGCCGCAATCAGCGAAAACGACCCTTAGAGATTTCGTAATTTTTTCGAGAAAAAGGTCGATTTGTGACGTTCAACGATTTTTTGATCGCGCTGCAAACAGACTTCTTGAACTCCTTGCTTGAAGTAATTTATTTGAAGTTGAAGTGGTGTCGTGTGGCGACTCCAGTGTTCCTTGATCTTGTTGCGATGGCTGCGGACGCCAGAGCTGTTCGCAGAGCACACACGGCAGTCATTGTGTACAGCTAGCTCGAGCCTGGTGGGGTGTGGATGCTGAAGTAGCCGCTGAAGTTCAGAGTGAGGATGAGACGTTCTTTGGTTCCGACATCAATGTCGACAGCGAGGCGGAGTCGCAGCCGTCATCTCCTGCTGCGATGCGGCTCAAGGTGGCCGATGACTCGTCAGAGTCGGAAGATGAGGAGTCGTCCGAGGAAAATTCTGAGTCTGGGGCTAGTGAAGGCAGCGACGTCGTGTCTTCAGCTGCGGAGGAAGAAATGGAAGAGTAGATTGCGGAACGACTCCACGCAGGATGCAGCTGCGAATATGTCCATCATTTCTCCGCACTGCTCAGCTAGCTATTCTTTGTCATTATAGCTGCTTACTGCACTATTTCAAAAAGTATTCAAGCTGCCTACCCACCTTAGAATGCTGAATATTCATTGTACACATACATCGTATACATACATTGCACCAATTTGGAGTACATCTTGTATATTGGTGTATACACCCGTTTAGAATCGGAATATTGAACTTTTTCTTTGCTGAGGTCCTTCAGAAGATGTGTTTCAACAAATTTCTAATCAAAAAGGTATTTTGAAAATGTTGACCCTAAGGGCTGTTTTCGCTGGTTGAGGCCCATATAATTTTGTAACCTGCAGTGCATTTTCAATGCTCTTATGGAACACTCCACATTTGCCGAATGAATCCATTCCAACCTTTCTGAATGGACTGTAGAAAACTTATTTTCAGGTTTTACGGAACGTTGGCAGTGAGCACGAGCAGTGACTGGATCGGCGGTCAATGCCTGGTCTACAGTGCGGCTTGAGGAAGGAGAAAAGCTACAAGTGTGTGCCCGCATGCATGACCGGAGTGTTAAAATACTCTCTTTGATTGTCTTCTGCAGGAAACAGCTTTGGTCTGGATGGCATCAACCTGCGTCAGTTGCTGCCACTGAGTATCTCAGACTACTATACCTACAGTGGATCATTCAGCTGGCCCAAATGTTCTGAAGATGTAACATGGCTGGTCATGTCGCAAACACTGCCTATCACTCTGGACCAGGTAATGCCGCTTCTACTCAGTAGCATAGTGCTGCCGTAATGCAGTAATGCCAGTATCTTTATATATGCAGGCAGGTCGCGACCCTTGAAAGTGGCACGGTCTAAGACCATAACTGAGAAGCAGAGTGTACCAGATTCAAGTCCTGCTTGGAAACGGAATTATTTTTCCAACGGTGCTGCGACCCACCGTTAATTCGGAACTCAAATGTCTGGCAGGAGGGGAACATGAAGGCAACGGGATTTCAGTCTTTGACCACTTTGTATGGTGGTTTTGATCTACTCCCCCCCCCCCCCCCCCCCCCCCATACCCCCACCAACCCACAGACTCACCCATCTACAGACACCGCTTTAGGAGCTGCATCTGTGCGGCCTTCAGGCGCTTGAGGGTGGTTGCTTCCAAATACATAATTATAAGAAAAATCAATCTGACTGGGTCTTGCGGGTCCAACCGTGAATTTGTTCAGTGTGTACATTTACGTGTGATTTTTCTTTGGCTTGGTCAATTTCTCATAAGGGGCAGTCGTTACCCCACGGGCCTTCTCAGTGAAGTACAAGGACTATCTTCTCTTCTTTTTCTCTACGCTCCATTGTTGAATACTCTCTTGCTCTTAAGAATTGACTTTGGGTTGCCCGCTTGCATATTATTGGCGGAGCTGATTGATACTACATGTTGTTGTTGTTGTTGTTGTTGTTGTTGATTTGGGTGGGGTGGGGTAGGGTACTACTTCAGGCGGATCTCCACTAGCCATGTTGGGTTGCCTGCGCTATCACTGGTTTTTGGATAGTAGTACCAGTACTTACCAGTGCAGTATGTGCACATCTGTATACATATATACTACTCCTTGATGGATTTTGCAATTTGTATTCTAATTTAAGAAAGTGCAATGGAGATGAGTGGCATGTACTATAATTATAGCATTGCATGGGAATCTGTATTATCAAGTTGTCTTACCTGAGCCGTGCTGAGCCATGCTGTTTGATTGGTATGCTGCAGATGAACCGGCTTCAAGGTGTATTTTCCACCCGACGTCGTCAGAACCCTGCTATTCCAATGGCTGGCAACACACGGCAAACACAGGAATTGAATTCCCGACAAATCATTTCTTCATTCCCGGTACGCATGATCACATCTTTATCGTTTCTTGTTGTGTTGCCTGACCTCATTATTAGCGGTGGGTTGAAGGCATGCAGAGAATTGGTAACTAGGTCTGAAGATAGTCACGGTCTTTGTTCATGAGTTGTCATCAATATCCTTGATTGTTTTCATGAGGTAACTGGTTGCCTGTACTTCCAACCACGCACTGTTCATTAGACTTGCGAAGAGTATGGAAATTGAAATTGGTACAATGCGGCCACTGGATTTTTTAAGTGCTACAAATAACAGCTGCGTCTGTTTGTTTGTGTGCATGTGTTGTGTGTATGTGTGTGTCTGTCTGTCTGTATGTGTGCGTGCATGCGAGTGTGTGCGTGTTCGGTGCATCTGTACATGTTCCATTGCTTCAATGGATGGTGTTGGCGGTGGTTGTGTGTGTGTTTGGATTACTATTATTGCAGACCAGTCAAGCAGTGTCTCTAGGTGAGTACTAATAGTACACATTTCATGTGAGCATGATACCCACATGGCCTTAGAGGATCTCTTCACCCAGCTACCCCACCCATAGGCTGGTAATGATCAGAAATCCACAAAGTATCCCCACCCATAGGCTGGTAATGATCAGAAATCCACAAAGTATATATAAAAGCAAAACATGTGCATAGCTATACACAATAGCCTATTCGTCAGTGCATGTGCGTTAACATGCACATGCACTGATGCCGTGCATCATTGATACCAGTTTGGATGGGGTAGTAATCCTGTAATCCTGATGATGATACACATGTACAGATGATGATACACATGTACAGATGATGATACATGACTGTACAGATGATGTCATGATACATGACTGTACAGATGATGTCATGATACATGACTGTACAGATGATGATACATGACTGTACAGATGATTATACTGATCTATTGTATGTGTACGTAGGATGTAACCATCAGAATGAGCAAATCAGCTTGGGACAAACTCATGAGTTTTTCAGCCCAGACGCCTCCGATCCACGCTCCACAAGAGGTGGCAATGACATCATCTTCTTGGTCGACCAATCAGGATCAAGCCGTATCCGCCGCTTGCACAGGTGAGAGAGAGAGAGAGAGAGAGAGGCGAAGGGGAAGATCTATTCTTCCCTAACATCCTGAGCAGGCATGTGCACACTCTCCACGTATACTGTATACGTATGGCAACAAAGGCCATGGCATTGGGCCATAGGAGACATGTGTTTGTGGCGTGGATTACAAGCTCGGTTGTGGCAACTGCTCGCGAATAGTGACACTGTCTTCAGACCTAGTAACCATTCAACTGAATATTTTCAAGCATACAAATAACAATAACTCACGGTTAACAAAACCTTGCCGCTGATCCCTGGTCGAGGGTGGTTACTTACAAGATTGATGGTGTGCGTTAACATTGTGTTTGCACATAGCCATACGGTATGCCATAACCTTCATGATAATTACTGGGTTTGTTCTAATCGCCGCCTTTTGTGTTGCACTCCTGCAATTCTGACATGTTTGGCTTAGCTGGCTGAGACAAGCTGATTTTGCTGGCAAGCTGGACACGGCTCTGACTGGTCTTGGCTTCTCCAACAATCAGTTTGGTATGGTGGGCTTTGGACAGGATCAAGGTGGACCAGCCACCACTATCGAAGTGGGTGGTGCTGGTCAACTGCTTGGCAGTGCAGAGGACCTCCAGACTGCCTTCCAAGGCTTGACCTCGCGAGGCTCCAGAGAAGATGGCTATGCAGGTATGTGCTGAGGCAGTGCCGTTTGGGTAGTAGTTACAGAAGTGAGAGTAGTGGCGATAATGGGGGTATAGGTCAAGAATCTCACAGCGGCTTGCAACCTGTTTTTACCGTGTAAAGAAGTGACCTACGGTGTTCTTACCAATACTGTTGGCGCTCCTCAGACAGCAATAAAGTACCTTGTTTGAATCCACTGCGTGTTCTGTTGATGGTGCTGCTACCATGTTTGCACATAACCTCATGGATATGGGTTTTCACACAATTACCCACCCACAGGCCCACACGTACAATATGGTGCAATCAGCTTGAAGTGCTGCCTAACAGCGCTCCTGCACAACAATATCGATGCTTGTTAGTGGTAACTTACACTCTACACCATTGCAGGTGAAGTACCACCGGCTACATGTCCATGCACCGAAGTACCACCGGCTACATGTCCATGCACCGAAGTACCACCGGCTACATGTCCATGCACCGAAGTACCACCGGCTACATGTCCATGCACCGAAGTACCACCGGCTACATGTCCCTGCACCGAAGTACCACCGGCTACATGTCCCTGCACCGAAGTACCAATGGCTACATGTCCCTGCACATTGTACACAAACTGCTCCTTCAAACGAACACACACACCACACGTACACCACACACACACACACACACACACACACACACACACACACACACACACACACACACACACACACACACACGGACACACACACACACACACACACACACACACACGGACACACACACACACACACACACACACACACGGACACACACACACACACACACACACACACACGGACACACACACACACACACGGACACACACACACACACACACACACTACTACTACTACTACTATAGCATGACTGCCCATTGGGCAATGTCACCCCCGGGAGGGGGCCAGAGTTTGGAGTGCACCGTCATTGGCAGGACTTCTGGTGCCTCGTCAAATCTTGCTGTCGTCGGAAACGTTTCGGGCAATGCATGCAGATCAGCGGCAGTGATTCCCTATCGGCTGCAGCAAGACGTTTTCCACGGTTGCAGTTATGGCGGTTAAAACCAGCCCGGGACTTGAAGCAGCGATTGCAGCGTTGACAATGCTGGAAGCAGCAACTAGCGAGAGACGCCGTCAATGCCGTATCTGCATGTTCAGGGAGTGCAGGCTGGCAGCGATGAACTGCAAGCCCACCCTTACTACGGAACCATCGGCAGCAACTGACGCACTGTGCTCAACCACGCTGTTGGTGGACGGGAAGTTGGCGCTCAGCCAAACACTTGTGCCGTGCCTTGTCTTGAGGACGAGAGAAAGCCCGGTTGCAAGATGAGCAGAGTACGGATTTCTCTACTGCCCGAGGAGGCTGAAAAACCAGAACCTGCTCTCGCCAAGCTGACCGGTCTTGTGCGCAATCAAACCAGTTTGGAATGGACTTCGTGTCAGTAGCCACAACGTCTCTCCACCTACGCCTGGGACCGCAGAAGGGGCGCGCAGCCAACAAACGACCAAACAACAGCTGCAATGGGACACGGTCCTCCGACATCCGAGCCACATGACCAAGCCACTCTAAACGACGATGGCGCATCTTAACAGAGAGTGGCACTGGGTCACCCCAGTGACGACGTAACTGCGCAGACGTGATGCGATCGGATTGCTGCTGACTGCGAGGGATGGCTAATATTGTGCGGATGCAGCGATGATGAAAGGCATCCAAACGTCTACTATCAGCTTTCAAGGGCGTCCAGCACTCACTGCCGTACAGCAAAATGGACAAGACACAGGCCACGTATAGCTTTCGCTTACTGACTAATGACAGCGAGCGATCCGACAAGACTGGAAGAAGAGCTCCAAAGGCTTTGGAAGCCTCAGCTATGCGGCGACTGACGTCAGTAGAGGAGCGGGCATCCGGTGTCACGACGGACCCCAGATAAATGAAGGATGGAACGTGCTCCACAGTATCACCGTTGACGTTCATATCAGCTCTATCAGGCATGTTGACTTGGCTACCTGCCACAAGAAATTTCGTTTTAGCAGCGTTGACGCAGAGGCCAAAGGAAGAGGCAACCGTGCAGAATGTTTCAAGGCACTTCTCACACACACACACGGACACACACACACACACACACACACACACACACGGACACACACACACACACACACGGACACACACACACACACACACACACACACACACGGACACACACACACACACACGGACACACACACACACACACACACACGGACACACACACACACACACACGGACACACACACACACACACACACACACACACACACGGACACACACACACACACACACACACACACACGGACACACACACACACACACACGGACACACACACACACACACACACACACACACGGACACACACACACACACACACACACACACACGGACACACACGGACACACACACACACACACGGACACACACACACACACACACACACACACACACACACGGACACACACACACGGACACACACACACACACTCCCGTAAATGTACACACATACGCGCATGTTGTTTTGAATTATACGTGTGTTCATGCAGCAATTCAACTAGCGCTAAGAGCGTATGACTTGCGTCCCAATGCTCACTGCATCCTCTTGATGTTAACGGATGAAGGGCGAGACAACTTGGCTGAAGATCTCAACTACGATCTCATGGTCTCTGAGCTCAACTCTAAGAAGTGTGTGCTGCACGTAGCAGTTCATGAGCGCTTTGCATCGGGAATGAGACCTCATTGTGGCCGGCGACCATTCCATCGTCATGCGTTTGGCATGGATGCAGAGAAGCATAGCATCATCAAGCACTCGGTGGAAGAGTTTCAGGTTGTTCCATGGGCTGGCTATGCTAGATTACGCAGTGGTAACAAGAACACACACACTGCTTATGTACAGCTGGCCTGGGCCACTGGAGGTAGTGCTTTCAATGTCATAGAGATCACGGACGTGGGTAGCGCAGATCGTGTCCAGGCGGCAGCCACATTCAGTAACATACTTGCGCAGTTACGTATGCGTGACCTGCAGAGGTATTCATGCCAGCGATGTCGATGTACCTTTGCTGGGCAAGTGGACTGTAGACGATGTGATGAAGGTGAGTGCCACCAGGGAAATATCTTCTCAGTCCATCCCTTCCTCTCTCTTTTCTTCTACGTCTTCTCTCCCCCCCCCTCCTTTCTCTTTTCTTCTACGTCTTCTCCCCCCCCCCCCCCACCCCTCCTTTCTCTTTTCTTCTACATCTTCTCCCCCTCTCCCTATAATTAAAGCATGTACACTGGGCTAGTTGTGCTAAGTAACTGTTTACATAGGGAATGAGTGTGATGAGAATGAGTGTGATGAGAATGAGTGTGATGGGAATGAGTGTGATGAGAATGAGTGTGATGGGAATGAGTGTGATGGGAATGAGTGTGATGGGAATGAGTGTGATGAGAATGAGTGTGATGGGAATGAGTGTGATGGGAATGAGTGTGATGGGAATGAGTGTGATGATAATGAGTGTGATGGGAATGAGTGTGATGGGAATGAGTGTGTTGAGAATGAGTGTGATGAGAATGAGTGTGATGAGAATGAGTGTGATGGGAATGAGTGTGATGAGAATGAGTGTGATGAGAATGAGTGTGATGAGAATTCATGAAAAATGAACTTAAAAGTCATGGGCAGGTACAAGCCTAAGCAGCCCCTAAACTAGAGCTCTTCGTCTTCTTCTCCGGCTCTTGTTTATCTGGTGGGAAATAACAGTTTGGGTTCATGTTGTGATTGTTGTTGTCTCACTGTAGAGTGCTCCTATAATAGTACACAATTGCATAGCTCTTACTGACACAACCCGCTGTGCCTGTGTTTCGTATTGTATGTGTGTGTATGTTACTTCCTTACTAGATTTCCCACCCCAGGCTGTCGTTGTAGCTGAGCCAGCCACTGTGTTCCTAGGAGACAGTGGCACACTGAGATGTATAGCCAGTGGCCATCCTGCACCAACGATTGCATGGCAGAGACCTGATGGATCTACTAACCTGCCTCCTGGCGTCACTCCCTCTGGCTCTGGTGACCGCCTCAACATCCGCAGTGTTACCGAAAGGAACTGCTTCACCTGTGTTGCCGATGGCGGGCGCCTAGGGGAGAACGAGGCAATGGGATGCGTGGAGGTGCAAGGTCTGTGAAGAATCCAACCATTTTATCTACATGTATACTGGTAGTGTCTGATAAGATACATGCATACTGTAGTGTCGCGTATAGAAGCATGACCTGTATAGAAGCATGACCTGTATAGAAGAATGACCTGTATAGAAGCATGACCTGAATAGAAGCATGACCTGTATAGAAGCAGGACCTGTATAGAAGCATGACTCGCATAGAAGCCGATTCTTTGAAGCGCGCCATGACACAGAAGCATGGTTTGCATAGAAGCCGCTCCCCGCAAAGTACATGTGCGCGTACATGCATGGCAGTATGTACTGCACAGTGCAGACTGATGATGTTGACATAGAAGCATGTTTTGAATAGAAGCATGTTTTGAACCCCGGCTTATACGGGCGGAAGAACCTGCTTTTATATGCGACATTACGGTATCCGGTTTCTTGTTCTTTAGTACTTCGAAGTAGAAACAAAGACAACATCTAAACCCACTAGCCTAGGTTACGTTGAGGTGAGTCCGGATACTCTAGCTTCATCTGAGGTGAGGGGTGCTGCTCACATAATTATAACGTTTCAACAACACACTTCAAATCACATAATTATAACGTTTCAACAACATACTTCAAAGTATATCTACAGCGAAACACTGACGAGATGACGTTCCTGAGCTAAGAGGAACTATCAAAAAAGATCGACAAACTAGTATTTTCAAGATCCCAAAGCCAAACATCATCCTCTATACATTGTACATCAGACCAAGTATACATCATATACTTGGTTGGGCATGGTGAACTCAGATGAGATAATCTAAAAGCCGATTCCCGAGTGGCCGAAACTCAGCTAAGATGAATTTTTGGTTGTTAGTAGCCTATAAAACCCCATGTGATGTGCACTTTCTCGCAATGGACACAGCGACAAATGGTTGTCTAGCTTTACCTTGCATTTCAAGTATGTTCCATGTCACTGGGTCTTAGCTGCTAGGCATTGCGTCTCCCCAAGTGGCCACGTAGCCTACTCTGTGTAATGCTAGTGTTTTTATTGTACGGTTCTGTGGCTAGTACTGGCTACTTTGGTGTGACATTTTCGTGTGCAGTGCAATGCAGTGCAAGCCCATTTGTTAGACTTGCTGGCCTACAGAAATGGAAATGTCTTCTCTCTGCCTCTGTCTGTCTCTCTATCCGTCTGTTCGTGTGTGTGTGTCCTCCCTCCCCCCCCCCCTCTCTCTCTCTCTCTCTCTCTCTCTCTCTCTCTCTCTCTCTCTCTCTCTCTCTCTCTCTCTCTCTCTCTCTCTCTGTCCACCTGCAGGAGTTATACCAGTCCCGGAGCTTACCCAGCCACAATCAACAAACACAGGCGGCTGTGCCACATTTACCTGCACATCCAGTGGCTATCCAGAGCCTCGCATCACTCTAACAGTGAACAGTAGTGATTGTGTGGTCAGTGGCAATACAGTATCGTGTGATAATCTGCAAGCTACTGCGTGCGTGACCTGCAATTCAGAGAATCGCTTGGGATCTGGGGAAGACACAAAGTGTGTCAATGTCTTTGGTAAGTAATCCACCCGAATGCTTTGCAATGCCTGTAGGCCCTGTACTAACTGAAATACTGCCATTCAAACTTTATTCTTTTGTTCAGTTGGACCTTTGGGTTGTGGGTGTGCCTTCTATTTTTCAGCAAATTCGAAGAAGACACATGGTGTTCTGCGACTGGTGTGTAAGATAGCTCTGTCCTCATGAACATTGAGCACTCCACCGAGTCTTATTTTGTGTATCAGCAAATTCTATATGCGTCAAAGTGTCAAAGTGTGGAGTGTGGATTACAGTGTTCTCATGTGGCACCGTTGGGTGTTGAAATTCTAAACGATTTCCTTGTGTTTTGATGGTGTGCTGTGTTTTGATGGTGTGCTGCTGCTAATCCAGCATCATGTCCAGGTAATATTCATCACAACTCGTGGCGCCGCCAGTTCAGCCCAGATGCATCTATCCCTGCTGACAACATGCACTTGGTGATTGTTTTTGACGAATCCCGCACCATGCTGACGGAGCGAGGAGCACTTCCGGATATAATCACTGGTCTTGACACTGCTCTAATGGCAGCTGGCTTTGGTGTCAGCATTGAGAATAAGTATTCCCTAGTGGGCTTTGCAGGCAGTGCCGCTCCCGGTGGAAAGTACATTCCTGTTGGTAATGGTATCTGTGGCGGAGCAGCTGAGGTTGGTGCGCTGGCCAGTACTCTTGGACGAGATGGTAGAACAGAGGATGGCTACTCGGGTATCAATGTGGCTTTGCAGGATGCAACGCAGTGCGACACTGGTCCAAACTCCCAGCTCATGATACTGATCATGACAGATGAGGACAGGGATGTTCTGAGAGGTGTTGGAGAGAGCTTCACGTACAGCACAATAGTGCAGAGTCTGCGCACGGCTAACGCGCGCTTCTCAGCCATCGTGAAGCAGCAGTACCGTAACTTTGTCACCGGACAAGATGCATACGGCTTGGACAGCAAGGGCCAGACATTCATCATTGCTGGAGGTGGACAAGAGTTTGAGCTCACACCTCCTGGTACGGGTGGTCCTATCCGAGACTCTGGCTTTGGAACAACGGAGCAAGATTACGTTGAACTGGCGCAAGACACTGGTGGCTGTGTGTTTGATGTGCTGAGTGTGCGTAACGCTGGCAGACGGCCGGGTTTCCTAGCAGCACTGTCGGCGTGCCTGTCTGAGCAGCTGTCAGCTGAACGAGTACGACCACTGTGTCAGGAGTGCCTGTGCAATAGTGGAGAACTGCAATGCAACAATCTACCACGGATTACGGACAGGGCACAGTGCACATCACCTAGCGGTAAGTTACCATTTTCAAATGTATGCTGTCGTGTTTAGTAGTGATCCCTTACCAGGAGCAATCATTCACAAATGTATGCTGTCGTGTTTAGTAGTGATCCCTTACCAGGAGCAATCATTCACAAATGTATGCTGTCGTGTTTAGTAGTGATCCCTTACCAGGAGCAATCATTCACAAATGTATGCTGTCGTGTTTAGTAGTGATCCCTTACCAGGAGCAATCATTCACAAATGGCTGTCGTGTTTAGTAGTGATCTCTTACCAGGAGCAATCATTCACAAATGTGTGCTGTCGTGTTTAGTAGTGATCCCTTACCAGGAGCAATCATTCACAAATGTATGCTGTCGTGTTTAGTAGTGATCCCTTACCAGGAGCAATCATTCACAAATGCAATGCTACTGTGAGCTTTTCAGCTATGACCTGCATGTTTGAAGTTATACCATTGGAGTGAGTGCGGCATCACAATCATAGTATTTCACACTCTGAATAACACTAGTACCAGAGTACCAGAGTACCATAATCAGTATAGCCTTGTTCTACTTGCTCTACTGCTCTGCTCTGGAATACGAGAATACCAAATATTATGATACCATTCAAACGTCGTTGAGTTCCGATTTCCTGTGTGTTGTCGTTGGTGCAGACGTGAACCTTGGCGTTTCCGTGCGCTCTGATCCACCGTTTGCCGTGGACAATCAACAGATGACCTTATTCTGTGAGAGTAGCAACGAGCGTGCTGTAGCCGAGTGGGTACCTCACCCTATCGATGCCTTCCAGATAGGCCGTGACCTGCATCTATCAGCATGTGCAGCAAAGTCAGCCCCAAGCTATATGTGCGTGTTGCGTACAGGTGATGGGCAGGACAGTGACTCGATTTCCGTTGGTCTGTAACCACTGTTTTGGTCTCAAAGCCATCATTGGAATGCACACTACAGATAATCAACCGTTGCTGATTGCTTGTAATATTTAGTGTTGACCGACTACCAAGCCTGACGATGCCACACTAGCAAAAGCCTCTTATGATCTTCAAAACCATGAATGCTTCATCTGAATGCACAAGCCATCAATGTTTCCTTCTTTTTTCACTTCACTCTGTGTGTACAAGTATATTGTAGTATGAACAGTCTCCATCAGTCCATCAACTATTTTCTCTCTCTCTCTCTCTCTCTCTCTCTCTCTCTCTCTCTCTCTCTCTCTCTCTCTCTCTCTTTCTCTCTCTCTCTCCCCCCCCCCTCCCAAACACACCCAGCCAAACACTCCTTAGTAGCAACTACAGCTGTGTACACACTACGCAAAGCAATAGAGGTACATAGTCATCGGCGGGTCGAGACATCATTTTCACCAGACAACAAGTTATGACATGAACTGTTACTATGAATAGAGCACTGTAGAATAAGATTAAAATGATGCTGCAACCCGTGACAACGTGGCATATGTGCAGCATTGCTTGCTAGAAAAGAGAATAAGATGGGAATAGCAGGAGTAGTGTGACTATGAATACATAATAATACAGTATACAATGTACATGTGTACAGTTGTTATGGCTGGCTGGCTGGCTGGCTTGGGTGACAGTGTGCTTGCGATGCACACAATGTCTATGTGCACACGCTGTATGAAAGGATTCTGCATTGATCCGTGATGCACGGCCATGCTATCCCAACGCACGTTGCTTGTGTGCACTCACACGTTTTGTAGGTCCATGGGAACAGGATAGAAGAAGGGGGGGGGGGGGGGGGGTAACAACTTACAACTCCACACCAGAGGAAAACTAACTTGATTGGTCGACAAGAAGAATAGTCGAAGGTATTTACATCGGCAGCAGAAGCAGCAGCAGCAGCAGTATAAACAGCATGAAAAGCAAGTCTGTACAGTACTTATGTGCAGAATAGTCGGAAATATTACACCCGTGCGTGGCATCAACACAAGACAGCCAAATATATTTACAGCAGCAGCAGCAGCATAAACGGTACGAAAAGTAAGGCTGTAGAGTAGATATCGACAGCATGTACAGAAAAGTCAGAAATATACAAAAGCGTGCAGAGCAGAGAGCATGAGAAGAGGAGAGCCTTGCCCCAACACTGTGTGATCTTTCTAATGACCACTGGTCCTGGGAAGTGATTGATAGATACTCGGAATAGGGTCAGGAATTCCCAACGCTGCTATTCCGTGTGTGTCCACACGTTCCGGATCAAGAGCAGGGATGGACAGTGAGGATGGCAGTTGATTGACGAGAATACCACCTGCAGCGGAGTGCACATCCAGTCGCAGATCTTCTGTTACACTAGCACTCAGAGGTGTCAAGTGAGATGTAGCTGAACTCAAGCCATTCCGCTGTTGCTGTGCCTGGTGGTGGTGGTGCTGCTGCTGCTGTTGTCCTGTTGATACTGAAGATGACGCAGTCGCTCCTGACGACTGTGCTTTACCACGCTCTTTCTGACGATTCTTGTTAAAGCGTCCTCCATCACCACGGTTACGATTCATAGCATGCCTGTGCCGTGACTCATGCAGGTATGGCTGCAATCCAACAACACGGCCACAGAGTCGAATTCCTTTAGTACACACTCTACTAAGACAGGTGTTACCGGGTGACCGTTTAGAAAGTAGGACTCTGGAAAGCACACTATCCTCCATGCAAAGAGTGAAGGTGCGGGAATGTGATTTTGACTGGTTGCAGAGTCTCCGATAAGACATGTACACAACTTGGGCAAACACACACAAAACATCCGGTCCAGCATGAAGATGAGTGTGCATTAACCCTTGGAGGACCAATTACAAGACAACTCTCATCATGAGGAAACAAGCTGTATTCCTGAAGACAGGTATACTTCCGTTAGGTCCCCATCCCCAACAGGTCTAAAACCAAGAAGTAAAACCTGCAAACCGATGGAATTTGTGGAGGTGGACACAATTTCTAGTTCAGGGGCCATAGCAGCACTCAAAAGGCGTGAAGGTGACGTTGTTATTGCTGCTGAGAGCCTAGTGGCAATGTCCAGAAAGAGGAGACCGGCAGCTTTCCAAGGAGGCCGACATGACGGAATTCCATCACCATGATCACCACCAGCGAGTGAAATTAGAATTTTCTAAATGTGCACTCTGCCTACTGCTGCGTACCTCAGCTCAAGCACTCTTCGGAAAACTGGGAATCAGTGATGGTCTAAAATTTTGAAATAATTATTGAAATATTGTCCCAAATTATGCCCACACGTATACACACACATGACCCCCCCCCCCCCCCCCCCACACACACACAAAGCATGCACTTTTTCCAAGACCACCCACCTTCCGCTGCTTCGGCAGTCGCCCCTCTTGCTCAAGCTTAGCTCGTGCCTGGCGTCGTTTCAGTATTCTTGAGTACTGCTTGGCATTAACATAGAGAGGTTCCTCTTCAATGGCAATATCACTGGACTGTAATGGAAGGCGGATGCCACCACCCCCTGAAAACGACTGCAGACCCTGGAAAGAAGAGAATATTCATGTTCAGATTGCTGCAGCTGCTGCCTGAGTGTTCAGGCACTGACCTGACAAACAAAGTAAACTTCAGAGGGAGATGGCTTCAACTTGCAGTGGTGCTATACCAGAACATATTTGTACAAAAGTTATTCTTGTCAAATGAACATCAGTGGTAGCTTGAAGAGATTTGACAGCAGTACTAAAGCTCGTCCTTCTAGCTGTGTTACACACACACACACACACACACACACACACACTTCTAGAAGAAATTCGGTGAACCGATACAGTAAATGGAACCGAGCAGCAGTGCAAGTATCTCATTGGCAAAACCAAGAATTTATCTGCGCTTCTTCTAACTCAAGGCTCAACTGTAGCCAATCAATATTATCCATACATCCTGATACATGAATATACCGTATTTGCCGGAGTATAGTGCGCACTTTAGATGGACTATTTCAGGCTCCAAATCGCAGATGCACACTATGCTCCGAATATGAAAATACACGCATTTCGAAAAGTATTGCAATGCATCAAATTGTTGCGAAGTTTGCCATCTCCCATCCTGCACAAGCCATACTCATGGGTGCATTTCTAATGTCTCCAGCTACACTACTTATGCATGATAGTTACAAGACCCCGTCAGTATCAAATACGGTACATCCTGATACAGCCATAATCAATTATTTTTACTATTTAAAATGACATGTTTTTCAGAGCATAGTCGTTGAAAATCAGCAGGTTCACTCCATACTCAGCCTCCCCACTAGCTAGCACTTACTGGAAGTACGCCAGCTGACATTGTTGCCAGGGCCTGTATGTACTCAGGGGCGACGTACAATGCATCTGTGCCACTCGCAGCAGTTGAGGCAGAGTGAATAGGTTCAGCCATGTCAAGGATTCCCCAGATTCTGTCCAACGAAACTAGTAGTCCTAATCGAATCGTAGCAGGTGCAACAAGATAAATTGCACTGTACTTGAGCTAGGTTCGGTCTGTGCGTCCCAAACCCGATTGAGGCTGATGGACTGTTGACTACTGAGCAAGACGATGACTCCAAGGAGGTAAGATGCCACCACTCCACATGAGAATACTGCTTTAACAGTACAGTGCTTAATCTCTGATCCAATGTTGAACAAACAAAGTACATGTAACTATTACTTAGTTTTACACACGCCACACGGACTGCTATTCGAGGCGTCCTAGATCTACGTTGCGAATCCTTATCATGTATTTACTCGCCTCTTCGGAACTGACAAGGTAAGCCTCAGTTCAGCGCACCACAATATCTTTACATCGACATGGTATATCAAAATACTCATGAAATGAATAAAAATATAATAATTATCTTGACTGACGTGATGTTGTACAAAAATTCGAAAGTACAATGTTTTCCTCCGGGAGTCGTAATTGTACGACTCATTGGTTCTCCGGAAAGGAGTACAGCACGACTCGAGTGCATAGAAGCGAGCATCTCCTTTGACAGAAGGAATCCAGCTTCCAGAGGAAGTTGTTGCTGCCACCAAACTGCGGCAGCCAAGGTGGCCCAACATACCGGTACTGCTAATCGTCAAGAAAAAGTCAGGCAATGGCCCTCTGAGTCTCCTGCCCCAGGGATACCCTGAGTGATGACCACAGGCGGACGCTTGATCTCGCCGCAGAGAAAGATGCCTCCAGTTGGCTCACTACTGAGTCGGCCATCTCGCAGGTTCCAGTTCACCATCCACAAGGCTGGCTTTCGGGATACGGTTGGACCCCTCCCCGGTTGCCGTCTCCGCCACTGCACCTGCGGAAAGCCCTTCGACACGGCACCCATGGCCTGCCATGTGCCATCGGAGCCAGTCCGCATGGCAACTTCGCCGCTAATAACGACTGCGGATATAACGACAATTCGCGAATAACGACAGAACCCCAGGAACATTGTTTCCAAGGGCTTAGCCTGGGACGTTCTTATTTTTTCGGTGATCTGGCTGTGTTCTTATACGGCACGTTCTATCCGTATTGGATCATATGTATCCCACAAGCTGCCAGAAAACCAACACCGTCGTTCTTAACTTTAGGCTGTGGCGTTCTTAGTAAGTTCCAGGTTCCACGTTCTTCAGCACACGACTCTACTGTACATGTACATGTACTGGCATTCAAGCAACAGTTGACACTACAGTCAACACTACACTAGTCTACAGTCGCCACTAGTTGTGTGGACTTGGTCACATGATGTGTACTTTGAAGTAGTGTTGTCAACACATGCGGCAGACACACTAGAACATACAGTGTAGATCTACATGTACATTGTACATACACCCACTCAGTCCCGGCTGAGTAAGTGAGTCGATCAGAGTGGATCATTAGTGCTACAGTTGTAACCGGCTGAGAAGCAAAGAGCGTCATTTTGACATGATATGTCAAAATGACGCTCTTTGCTTGCTGATGACAATACGTACATTGTATGTATTGTTGCATAATGCCATTATTGGTGGACCCAACTCACTATAACATAAACCTCGCTATAACATACAAATTGCCATACCCCAGAGATTACGTTATAGCGAGGTCTGACCTGTAGGGCTTTCACCCGACGAAAAAAAGTCATGCAGTCGTCTCTGCCTAGCGTGAGGATCAATGGGAAATCTGAATCGCAGAACCGTAGCCCTGTCCACGACACCCTGACCCCAGTTTGTGCGTTTTCGATTTTATTTCGCATTTCCTATACTGGTTTGTGTGCAATGTGTCGCCGGGCAGAGCTAGTCGTCGCGCGTGTGAAGTGTCATGCCGCGCATCGTAGAACCATAGAAGCGTGCAATCGTGAACACGTACCGTCGTGTGAGAGGCCTATGTAAGTGGGGAGTCGTAAAATACCGGTATTTTACGACTTCCTGATTGAAACCGACAAATACAATCTCCCGATCACGAATTTGTGCAATTACAAAATGTGTACGATAATTATAATGTACTTGAAGTATACGACTTGAGAAGCGTACCGTACAGCGTACCGTACAGCGTACCGTACAGCGTACCATACTAATTTAGTTTATAATAATAAAGTAACTTAGTTGATCATGTACATGTAAGCACTGGTTAGGAGAGCGCATGATGATCTACAACTATTGACTAGGCTGAACTGGAACAATGGAAAGATTCATCAACAGACAGCAGTGGACCGAACATTAGTGTTGCAAAATATTAATGTTGCATTACGCGCAACTGTGTAAAAATAATAACCCAATTGCGTTTTTATTATTAAGCACTTAAGTATTTGCAAGTGTGTTTACCGCCATATTGCCAGGTGTGTCTTTACCACCATATTCACTTATTGCAAGCTATCAATTCTTTGTCTGCTGAGTGATGCTCACACTGACTGACCTTAGGATGTCTGACACATGCTCTATGATAATTATAAAACAAGTCAGGCCCACACTGTGATACAAGTAAGTTAGTTGCTATCAGGCCCGGCCTCATTCTGTGCCCATGCACTGATCGGTCAGTGATGTCAGTGATGATTGAAGGGCGAAACACTGTGACTTCTGTCTGCACAGTCATGTTTTTTAGAATGTTGAACCAAAATATCCCGTGAATGCATTCAATCAATCAACCAGAGCACTGAACCTGAAGGTCACTTTGCTAGATTCTGTAATCCGATGACTCTCTCTCTCTAGTTATATTAGCCAGTTTCCACGAAGTGAATTGGGAAATCACAATACATGAATTGCGCAATACTTACATTACGCAATACTGCCAATATAATAGTACTACGTCAATCGTCATTGCATGTCTCCGGACGAGCACATGTACATGTAATGATGTACATGCACAGCTAGATACAATGTAGCTAGCTGCACAGGACATCAGCCTGATCAGGAACGGACTGACAAGAGTGTTTACAAACTATTATAACAGTACTGTTACTTACTATACAATGCATGCCTTGGCTTGGTCACACGTGCAGGATCCACATCTAGGAGCCAGCACACAAGATAGAACGAGTTGCGTAGAATCTACTTGCGCAAGATAGTGCATGCTAACGTTACAACTACAGCGCGACGTTTCTTTCACTTTCTTTCATGCCGGTACTCGTACCATTAGGCATACATAGTGCTCGACAGAAAATTGGGTACAACTACAAATCCTACAAATAGCGTCGACTTGAGCCCACGAGAGGCAAACATAACAAGTATTTAGATCGGCAGAGCAGCCCAATGCTGAGTTTATGCCAATCTTGAAATAAATTCTAGGAATCGTCGTAATGTCCCGGCACACAGGGACCTTGAACTGGCAGAAGTGCCCGTGGCGTTCGTCGCTGCAGCTAGTGTTGACTGTGACACTGGTACTCGCGATGTCCTGCAGTGAAGCGGCGAGTGCAGACACTTTGGAGACGGACACTCCAGCAGGGAGCAAGGCCAAAAACCCAGCAGCCATTGGTTATGGAAATTTGCCTGCAGACTTTAGTGCACCGATCGCCAGCATGGATGTACATGGTGAGCTTCCAAGATGGTTAAACGGATCTCTGTATCGCAATGGGCCAGCTTGGTGGAATGAACAACGTCTAAACCACTGGTTCTTTGGCCTGGCTATGGTGCATGCATTTCATATATCTGATGGGAAGATTTCCTATCGTAACCAGTATCTGCGTACGTCTGTGTACAACCAGTTCTTGGTTTCGGACCAGTGCTCAGATGAGCAGCAACATCCTTCACAGAGTCACATGATGTCCCAGGATGAGGGCACGCAGCCGGCCAAACAAGAGTGCAACAGAGGCGAAAAGTCGGAGCCTGAGTCTATCAACACCGCCGTGACAATTCGACGTGTTGCTGGTCATTTGCTGGCTAATGCAGGCAGTATGAGCAGCAATGAATTCCATGCTGAAGATCTTAGCACCCTGCATGCTCCATTCTCATTCCAAGATGACATGCAACTGTTTCGTAGCTCATCACATGCCCATACAGACCTGGATGGCACTATTGTTCATTTCTATTACATCGATGGGCCTCAACCAGCATATCAGTTCTACACAATAGCCGCAGGTACAATGAGTCGACAGCGCCTCGGTGCACCTCTTCAAGTTAACAATGCCGCTAATGCTCCGGTCTTCATGCATAGCTTCGCTCTGACTGAACACTATGCTATACTTTCGGAAATCCCAGCTTTCCTCGCTATGGACTTCCACCAAGCCAAGTTCTTTCCAACATGGAATGCAAAGTGGCGCATTGTGAATCGTCAAACCGGAGAGGAGCTCGATATTCAGCTTGAAAGTGCTGGATTCATGATGTACCACCATATCAATGCATATGAGGACATCAACGAGAATGGGGAAGCCGAGATTGTTGTAGATGTCGCTTCCTTTCCTGATATGGACTCTCTTCAGGCCATGTTCATTGATTCACTGATAAATAGACCAGAAGAGCTCATGGACTCGTTCTACCGAGGGGCGCCTCATCGCTACCGGCTGCCACTAAGTCCGGAGAAGCGTGGCACACTAGTTCAAGGTGAGAAGTTGTGGGATGGTCCTATAGAGCTACCGACTATCGCCTATGAACAGTACAACACTAAGAAATACACATACTTCTATGGTATATCTGCCACCGAAGGGAAATCAGTATTCGTTGACAGGCTTGTAAAAGTCGACGTGGACGCCGCCAGCCGGCAGGGCAATAGCAATGGTGCTTTATCTGCATCATGGGAAGCTGATAACTGCTACCCAGGCGAACCCGTCTTTGTCTCCAGATCTCAGAGTGCTGCTGAAGATGATGGTGTTATCCTAAGCCTCGTCCTTAATGCTGCTGAAGAACACTCCTTTTTGCTTGTTTTAGATGGCAAAAGCTTTACAGAAATTGCAACCGTTCCACTGACCTATGCTGTACCGTTTGGTTTTCATGGCCGCCATTATTTCAACACCACAGCTACAGCAAGTGAATGAAATGTGCTATATCTGGCTTAAAAACAACTATTGATGATGCAGATTCAGTACAGAGCTTTATTGAGGCTTGGAGGCTGTGTGATGATGAGTAGGATGCAAGTCTTCCTGTTTTTACTACCATGCATAGAATTGATCCATCTTACAGCATCACAACCACGGTGGAGCTTGCACACCAGAAATACCCTGCTTAGCCCCCTCCCCCATGCTTAATGCACACAAATTAACACATGCTTATCTGAGAATAACTTGAATTCCTCTTACTGAGATAAATCTTTGACTTGTAATACATTTCTTTTCTTTCTTTGTGCGGACCCAAAAAAGAAGAAATTACTGTTGCATATTCACCATTCGAGTTCAACTTTGCGTATTCATGGTTTATATAGACTATTCGTACTGGTGTAGTAGCTATTCTTGAAGGTGCAACGAGTCGTCGAAGAGAGCTTCGGGTGATGGGCCCTCGTTTTGCTGGCCGTATTCACATACAATAGGATCTCTACGGTATATGCTGGATTGTATGGCACATACACAACACTAAACTCCCTCAAGTTCCGGTCGTGACGTGATCGTCATCTCACACATGGTTTACACCTCTGTGATCTGTCTTGGCAATGGCTGAGTCCAGCCAGGCATCGATACCGCTCGTGGGACACACGTGCAAACGATCACAAGTATGTTTACACAAACGAGAAAGTTTCGGTCATGGCATTAACGTTTCAGATTATTGGCATTAAGTTGGTGTTTTGATCATTTTTTTTGTATTGAGATATTGTGTCATATGTAAGCACATTTGCTGCTTTGCCCGTACGAGTACAAGAGGCTTTTCCACATGCATGAGTGGGTGGTTCGAGGAGACTGGTTTCGTTAAGAAAAACATTGATAGCTGAACAGCCTGAACATCAATCCATTCTACAAAATGCTATATCCCGACTTTACCCCAGGCAAGTGTGCCTTTTGAAACCTCTGCTAGTGCCGTAGTGGCTTTCAACTGTATTTTCGTTGAATGGCATAAAAAACAAAAAAAATTGGAAATGAGTAGGGGGAGGGGCGGCACTTTTTCCATGGGGGGCTGCAGCCCCCCCCCCCCCCCCCCCTGGCTACAACCCTGATATTGTGATACCGTATTTTCCGGAGTATAGTGCGCACTTTAGATGTGCTATTTTAGACCCTAAATCGCAGGTGCGCACTATGCTCCGAATATGAAATGCATGTACTTCAATGCAGATTGAAGTGCGCACCCACAATGAAGATTAGGGATGCGCGTTATACAAAGGTGCGCACTATACTCCGAAAAATACGATATGTTAGGAATGCATACATGTACAGTACATGACTTGATTACATCACTAGTACATCACTAGTGATGTAAGGTCTTCATCAGCTTAGTAGATCTCCCATGCATGTTGTCATCACTTCTAGAACTAGTAGTTCTCACCACTTCCTTTTAGTTATACTTATAGTAGTTCCGGACTGTTCCATACCTTCCACGTCATTATGAGATGAATAGGGTTTGTGACTCAACTCAATTGCATCTTATACATGTACATGTACATGTAGATGCAGATACAATTTATTTTTCATTCCTATCAGGTTTGGCCTCATTTCCTCTGTGCCGCGCTGATGAGTCCACAAAGGACGAAACTGTTCTGTCCGCAGATTGAGTAGGTAGTAGATAGTAGATTGTGTAGATAGTAGCTAGATAGTAGATAGTAGATACAGATACATGTGCATGTATCTCTCCTTCTAGAATCTCTCTATTAGTCATACCTGTATAGTGTACTAGTATGTAATGCAATGCTCGTTGTTATTTAGCACTGATGATCTACATGTAGGTTTACCTCCTCCACTAGTCAAGAAAGATGATTTCGTAATCATTCGCTCTTCTATTCTATTGTAACCTTTCCTTAGTTCCCTGCCTTCCTCTGCTATACTTACCGGTAGCTATAAAAGCCGCTGCATTTCTAGTTTCCTGCAGAACTCTTCCGAACTATCAGAATTGTTCGCTGAAAACTGATTGTGTATTTCATTATTAGAGCCTTCTGTCATCTCCATCTCTACCGACTGAGGTGAGTTAACATATACATGTACATGTACATGTACTAGGACAGTGCATAAGGGGGGGGGGGAAGTAATAATTATGGCAGCAGTGTAACACTGTGACATTGCTTGTGAGAATTTACAGGACAAGTACTGGTACAGCATGTACTCACGCTCTTTAGAATTGCCAGCGTTATTCGTGGGCTGTGGGCATTTGGTGAGATACTGGAACACAGTCACATGACTCACAGTCACATCGACGATTACTAGTACATGAAGTATATTGCATTCTTGTGCGTTTGTTCATTGTAGATGTATTCTCAGTAGAAGACTTCAAGTCTGTTAGTGTCGACAGAGATGAGATATGGAACATACGGTATCGAGACAAACACTTTCTTCAATATCTGAGACGAACAGTATCATAATATCAAGAGCCGAAACAAAAGACATGGCAGATGAAATAAAAAAAGCAACCCGTTCGTTCACAGTAGGAAGCTTCAACACAAACCATGCATGGTATATTTCAGTACTACATTGTACATACTCATGTATGTTTGTACATGAGTCTGCACAGTTATTTACAGTCATGTAATGTATGTATTGTTGGAAGATTATTATTATTATTATTATTTCTATTATTATTATTATTATTATTATAGACAACACCTCATGGCATGAAAAGAAAATCAGCCAGTACGGGAGATGTGGGTGTTAACCAACCATGGTGAAAAGAAGAAAAGAAGAAAAGTAATGGTCAAGACGGAGAAGCATGGGAGGGACAGGTGATGGCGAATCTAGTGAGCAGATTTAAATGCGTCCAGGGTACTGGCATTGCGCGTAGTAGCGGGCAGCGCAAGCCAAGCAGAGTAGGCAACAAAGAGTGGAGAGTGTACAAGGGAGGACGTTTTAGCCAAGGGGAGGGCAACAGAGCATCTTGTCTGGGAGCCATCTCTGATTCGGAACCAGTTATACACGCTAAGATGAGGAGGATGTAGAGCTAGTTTAAATTTGTGAGCAAAAGTGCAACTTAATTTTTGACGGTGGGTCGACAGTGGGCAAGCATTTGCAAGGACATACAGGGAAGCAGAAGAGTAGAGAGGGGGTAGACTAAACAGGATACGAAGAAGTGTTCTATGGTGGATTTCGAGACGCTCAGCGAGAACCGAGCACAAGCCACACCAGCTAACAGTAGCGTAGATGAAAAGAGGCAGGTCTGAGGATGTACTGAGTTTGTAAAACAAAATTTTGCATTTGACAGGAAGATGGAAACAATGGGGACGTATAACACCTAGGGCAGAGCTTGAACGGCTGCAAAGAACATCAATATGGTAAGACCAAGAGAGACGATCATCAAGCATTATTCCCAGGTGTTTATGGTTGGAAACAACCTTTATGATCAGCTAGAGCCTAGGGTTCTGAGCTGGAACTACTCATTGCAGGAAATGTGGCATTGTGGAAAAATCTGCCGTGAAAACCATGCGGAATTACAAATTTCAGGGGAACGCTAGCAATTTCTATAAACTTAGAAGCATCCAGCACCAAAAGAAAAGAGTGCTTAGCAGCAGCATCGAGCACGATACTGAGCACCACGCCGTCGTCCTCTGCACCTTTCGAACTTCGGGGAACGAATACTGGTTCAGCTGGATACAGGTCCTTCCCCGTCCAGTGCACGGACAAGCAACCTTCACCATGGGGATTCGGTGTATTCAGGTCGAGTTTTATCAGCCTATCAAACCATACAGACTTCTCCTCTGTTCCCGAAATACCGTAGACATAGCGGTACTTGCGAGTATTGAACAAGTCATATGATATCGTGGGAACTTCAATGGAATGCTCGGATAGTCGCTCGCCTTTCACCACCGTTCCTCTAGCTTGCGACAGTGGCAGTCTGTAACGATGGGGTGCACCTTGGCTAAAGGCATGCATCACGGCGCGGCTATCGTTTCGTAATTGCCTAATGTCCATAGCTGATTGCACGTCCATATTTGGATAGGTCTGAATATCAACAACAATCATGGTGTGGCCTTCATCGTCTGTGTCTTCATAAGCGTTGATGAAATGAAAGAAGAAAAATGCCGGACTGTCGAAAATGGTCAATTCCTCGCCACTTGTACGGCTAAGCACATGCCAGCGAGTACCGAGATCTTTCAGAAACCTGCCGGAGAAATTCTGATAGATGAGGGCAGGCTGCTCGGCGACAAGGATGTACTTGTCGGTTAAGCCGAAGCTGTCAGTAAAGAATGGTGTCTTTGCCTCTGATCGACTTCTCAGCACCGGCCCAAGAAGACTTCTCTTGCCCGTCTCGCTGGGTATATGGTAAAATTGATAGCCAGGGGTGTCACCGTCCACAAAGTAATAGTGTACAATATTCCCGTCGGGGTCTCTCTGCCAGTGAGATGGACTGTCCAGCGCTGCTGGCAGGCTGTCTTCGAACATGAACGGTGCTTGTAAGGTGTCGCCCGTTGCTGGTGATATTTCATTCAGTGAAGTACTGGAGCCCATGAGCAATAGGTTTCTACCAACTCTTGTCACTCCACTTGCAGTGTTTATCGACTGCACAATGTTATGCTGCACTCTCTGTCGCTCTGGATCAATGGAAGAGCGCTGGTGGGGGCGATGGTGCCCGACTCGATCTGAATCTAACCCGTGAGAGTGATTGATATGAACAAACTGACGAAATACGGATGAATTGAGAAAGCGTGCATGCATTGCCACGCTGCCATTGGAAATAGTAAATACTTTGACCACTGAAAGACCCAAAAACCAGTGAAACAGTTCAGTGTTCCACCAGCCACCACCGTTGCTGTAGAACGAGCCATTGATCCAATTTGGAAGGGAGCCACGTACCTTCAGGTTTTCCTTGGTCTCCGTGAAGTTGTCTGGTAGGTTTTGAAAGCCTATTGCCGGGCTGGCGGCATTAGGCGACAGCTGAGAAGCCTCTATGCCGTACTCTTCTATAGACAAGAGCAATATGAGAAGTATGCCTGCCACAGTCCGTGCAGAGTAAAACGAACAAAGCCTGTCCATAGTGCCCCAGACCATGCGCGCAGGACTGGTGGTAACGATACTAGAACCTTGCGTGCCGAGAGAGAACCAATATTGTTCGAAGCAAACCAATAATTATATAATCAGTATGGTAGCCTAATGGTTTAGTTATGCAAGTCGATTTCTGGATGGGCGGTCCGTGTACATGTACATGATTGTATAATGCTATTCAGGTGGACCTAGTACAGTAGTAGACTGTCTGTACTTACGACCTTGAGTCAAGCTGAGACACTGTGTCTATTGGAGCTGTCACAAAGTCGTACTGGACGTACGGCAGTGAGTTCTTGTGCTGGCTGCGATACGGAAAGACCACATGCACCACCAGTCGCCGCTATCTAGACGCGTAGTCAGTTCATGATTGTGCCTTCGCACACACCCTAAGACAAATGGGGCAGCGCTGAGGTCATAATTCCCTATGGGTTCCAGGCATATTAGGCAACACACGGCGATGAGACCACCTGCTTTCGACAATCCCCTTCTCTCAGGCAAGACCAGTACTCTTTGGAATGAAACGTGTAGAATGTGCATTGGACACACAGACAACTCACTTGCGTTTGTTTTCTCTTTTTCTTGGATGTATTATTATACCTGGGCATTCCCAACAGACCCTACAAGTACATGTAAGATCTTCTTACAGAATGCCCATCATATTCCAGTTTATAGCTACCAGTGATTGGTGAAACCACGTTTTACCTGTACACAGGGCATCCAAACATTCGGATATTCAGGCATCCAGGTAATTTGGGTGTTTAGACATTCGGGCATTCAAACATTTGGGCTCAGTTCATAAATTTCAGTGTTTCACCCATGAACGTTTGTGAACTGAACAGGCAACTGAAACATGGCAATTCTTGTGATGAAAATACAAAAATGGCGAATTCAAAAGGGAACAAATTACTTGGAAATAGTGACGACATTTGATGTTGGACCATGATATGCAAGTGATGGGCGAAGATTAGTAACACCGTTTCTCAACTCTAAACATATGGGCCATGGGGGCAATTGAAAACATTCATATCATTAAAAATAGTAGTAAAACTATCAAAGAAAGACTGACAACTAAACTCTTGATACCACAGTCTCTTCCTCTCCTAGGGTCTCTCTCTTTCTCTCTCTCCCCCTCTCGCACACACACGCACACATACAGGGACACACGCACGCACACAAAACACACACACACACACACACACACACTCACTGATTCGAACTTCATGTTTGGCAGGATATTTAGCTTCGGTTGCTACAATTGAGTACCGGTATAATACGTGATGATCCTGTCCGAGCGTGAAACTCGGAGTTGCAACGGACTTCCCTCCCTCCTTACCAAGAAAGTCAAACTACAGTTCTACATGATTCGGCATTGTTTTGGGATCAGATTTGATGGACAGTGGTTTGAATGTTCCGCTCCGGAAGAATCTAGCATGAAATCCGATTGGAATTGCGAAGTCAATGGGGACGCGTGCAAGCTCAGCGAATGATGGTGCATCTAGTACGAGGAGGAAAGAGTGCTTGGCTGCAGCATCCAGTACTATACTTAGCAAAACGCCGTCATCCTCATCACCGTCTGATGTCCTGGGAACAAACATGGGCTCACTCGGGTAGAGATTCGTACCCGACCATACCACAGACCTAGCGCCATTCTCTTGTAGGTTAGCTGCGCCCATGTCCAATTTGACAATCTTGTCCAGGAAGATAGACTGGCCATCAGTACTGGATAATCCATAGGCGAAACGATACTTGCGGCTGTTGAAACGCTCGTAATCTATGGTGGGTATTTCGATAGTTGGCTTGCTCAGCACTTGCCCATAGACCTGGGTTTGCGCAGCGTCAGATGTTCGTGTGCTGCTAAGAGAGAGCCTATAGCGATGTGTTTCACTATCACTGACAGCATTCATTGCGTCTGGACTGTCGCCACGCAACAAGTCAATCTTCAGGGCAAGCAGAATGTCGATGTCAGGGTAGGTAGGGAGATCGATCACAATTTCAGCATTGCCCTGAGCATCCTCATCTTCATAGGCATTTAGTACGTGGAAGCAGAAGAATGCAGGACTATCAAATGTTTTCACTAGCCCGCCAGTTGTGCCATTAAGTACATACCAGCGCGTACCAAGATCCTTCAAGAATGTCCCTGAAAAGTCCGCATCAACTAGGCTTGGAGTCTCAGGAACTACAATGTAATTCTCTGTTAGACCAAAGCTGTTGACAAAGAATGGTGACTGTGCATCAGAACGACTTGGTAGCACCGGACCGAGCGCTACTCTCTTCCTCGTGCTTTTAGCAATGCGGTACAGTTGGTAGCCTGGCATCTCTCCGAGTACGTAGTGGAAATTGTAGATGTTTCCACTGGCATCAACTTGGTGAATGGATGCGCAGGGGAGGGTGTTAGGGATGTCGTCATCAAAGAGGAATTGTGCTTGCAAAGTCTCTCCGGTCACTGGGCACACTTCACTCACTGATGTATACGTAGTAGTTAATACCAGGCTATCATCAATGCGAAGCACGCCAATCTGGGTGTTCACAGACTGCGGCATGCTAGTAGCCAGCGATGCTCCATCAGCCGACTGCTTAATGGGCTCGGCCGTAGGTTGCGGGACTCGATGGAACTCAGATGTGTTGGTGAAGCGTGCCATGAAAGATACTACCCCGTTGGAGAAAGTAAACACCTTGAGAAAGGACTGGCCAACGAACCAATGATCACCTTCTTTCCAATACCCTGGGCCATTGCTGTAAAACGAACCACTCAGCCATTTCGGAATAGAACCATGGATGTTAAGCTGCTCCTGGGGCCGGCTGAATCCGGCAGGGAGGTTCTCAAATCCGATCGAAGGGCTTGTACCTGATTCACTGTTTACTCCACTGCCAAGACGTATAGCACAGATCACACAAGCAGTGATGACTGTGTGCGCGGAAACGACTAAAGTCATTTTGCGAGTCGCATGAATAGGACAGCAGCAGCAGCAGTTCCTCTTCAAACACACGCCGACTCAGCGAAAAAGTATCCGCAGGGACGTCTCCAGCCTTTTTCGATGCTATAACAAGAAGTCGAGATCTCTTCAACTTTATATCGCCCTGTTTGAATGACGACTTCGGTTTGGTAGCACGGACATGCTCAGCAGCACTTGTCATTCAAGCACAGAATCACGACTGGTTTGACACGTTGTCATAGATTGACCGTTCATGGAGCGCGGTAGAGGGCGTGCTCACGAACAAGTGATTTATGCCGACCTTTTTTTGTTTTTACCTTTTAATAGGGGAGGAAACCTTTTAATAGTTTAGTATACTAACAGTAAACAGTAAACCGTAGTAACGTTATGCTCATGTACAGTGTACCAGCTAGTAGTTCGAAATAGGCTAGTTTACACAAGACCCGTACCGCCGTGGGCGCCGCGGAATATGAAAAGTACAAGGCCTGCTACAGTACTAGGTATCTGGTGATTGCTTTTGCTTAACTCACAATTTTGTTTTTAAAAAGTAATTGGATGTGTGTGCTGCTAGCTGCGTGACCAGGTGACCGGTCATGGCAAGACTAGTATTGTCGGCATACGGGTATTAAGTTTTGGTTTCACACTGTCGTATGGCCTAGCTCCACAGCTTTCTAGGTCCATTTTTGCACTACACACTTGTAACATACATGTACATGTACATACTATCTGTAATACGTGCTCTACCCGTCCGGATGCCTGTGTGCAGCGGAAACTGTCCTGCTATGACAGGATTCCGCTTGATGCGACCATGGATGACTCAACAGCTTCTTTGCAGTATTAAACTCAAGCATCAGTGCTATACGCATCTGCCTTCGGATTCCCCTCTTTGCACCAGTTCACCACAGTTCCCTCCTCCATTACGCAAAGCTTCCCACCCTTAGCTCACAACTCCTTGTTAAACAAGTCCTACTAGTATGGGACATTCACCACCAAACCTCCCCACCACACCTGCAACAACCACATCTTGCACCACAACGTCAACACCAGCCATACACCCTTCGACAGACAAGGACCTACTCCATCGGACACACACACACACAAAACAGGCACCGAGATTCCCCCATCAACAGTGCCCCCACCCTCTACAACTCACTCCCTATCGACATCACAACCCAACCTCGTAGAAGTTCTTTCCGAAACAATGCATCCAGTCTTCTTTTGAGCAGTACCTGTTCCTGCTCCGCGCACCCCCCCCCCCTGGTTTCTGATATCTCGAACGTGTACATAACTATCTCGATCACCCCTGCTAACGTTATTGCCCCCGCTTGTTTTTCATGATTCATTGCTTCTTGCTTCCCCGGTTAATTTCCATCTAGCTGTTTCTGGCTAGTATCAGTTCTATCACACTTATCAATCGTCCTTATTGGTGTAGTGATGCTTTATGCACTCACCTTATTTAGTATACACATTACCCGTATGGGGTTACCCGCACATCCAGAGTGCATGACCTGGTTACCCTAACTGGGCCTACTTGGTGCCCGTAATGGCTTGGTCACCTTGCCTCTCTGGCATGCATGGATATCTTGCTGTTCATCTTTAGTTTCATGGTTCTTTGTCTAAACGACACATCCGAGTGGTAATGGACTGAGTGTGCTGGTGACTGTGTAGTCACTACATGGTGTCAGAAGTGGCAGACGATAAGTCCTCATGGCGGCTTTGCGTTTTTCCCCACCTTCTGCGTTCGACTTTACCCATCCTGGGCAATGGACTGCGTGGAAGCTGCGATTCAATCGGTTTCGAATCGCCAGCAAACTAGACGAGTCCTCGGATGAGGTACAGGTAGCTACTCTAGTGTACACCATGGGCATGGACGCTGATCAGGTGTTTGAGCACCAGCTTGGACTATCGGACGACCAGAAGAAGGATTTTGATGAAGTTTTGAAGGCGTTCGACACGTACTTCACCCCATCCGTCAACATAGTTCACGAACGCTCCAAGTTCGAGCAAATTATCCAGCAGCCCGGCCAGAGTCTTGACGAGTTTGTGCGTGCCTTGTATAAAGGTGCGGAGCATTGTGCGTTTCAAGCAGAAACAGACAACCGGATTCGAGATCGACTGATCGCACACATGCGTGACAAACGTGTCAGCCGAGAATTGCAGATGAAAGCCCCCTCGGAGCAAACACTTGCCAAGTCTCTCGAGTTTGCACGACAGGCAGAGCGTGTTGCACAGCAGGTTGCAGAGCAGTCGTCAGATAGTCGTGGTGCATCCTCTGTTGGACCTGGTGGACTCGCAGCTGCTGGTGTACACCAAAAGAAACGACCCGACAGCAGGCAATGGCATCGCGAACAAGAAACGCATGCTGCTCCATCCTCATCGTGCTGCCCCAACTGCGGCGGTAGGACGCATCCAAGAGATCGATGTCCAGCTCGAGGCAAGTCGTGCCGGTCGTGTGGAAAGAAAAACCATTTTGCGAAAGTTTGCAGGGCGACCCATCAATCGTCTGCCGTCGGCATGAACTCAGTTGGCTTTGCACCGGACGAATCTGACGACCCAGAGCAGTTTTTTGTTGGCACTACCGCTGCGGACAACTCAGACACCTCGCCTTGGTTTGCAGAGTTGCAAGTTGGCACAACGATGGTACGCTTCAAGCTGGACACAGGGGCGGATGTGTCAACGATGTCCAAGACTGTATGGCTCAGCATTAGTCCACAACCCACACTCCAATCAACAAAGGTACAATTGCGTGGTGCCGATGACCAGCTTCTACCTGTGTGTGGCGTTTTTTCAGCTAGCCTGAAGTACAAGGGCAAGGCCACCGATGTTCGAATGTACGTGTTGGAGCGTGCAAGTGGTTGCCTACTCAGCCGCTCTGCATGTGATGAACTTGGACTTGTCAAGCGCGTGAGTGCCACCCGTGCTCAGGTCCAACCTCCATCTGGAAAGCCGCTGGTCGGATGCATGGAGGGACCGCCTGCACATATCCACCTGCAGTCCGATGCGACGCCATACCGTTGTGTGACAGCCCGACGAGTCCCACACCACCTTTTTGGTAAGGTGCGCGAAGAGCTCGCGAGAATGGAGGATGGTGGCATCATAACAAAAGTCAAGGAGCCCACAGAATGGTGCTCGCCAATGGTTCCGGTACTGAAGCCGAATGGAAAGGTTCGGATATGCGTCGACCTGAAACGGCTAAATGCATCCGTGAAGCGGGAAGCGTTCCAGCTACCGACCATTGAGGACACATTGGCCACGCTGTCGAACTCGACCGTATTTACCACTCTTGACACAGCCAATGGGTTTTGGCAGATTCCACTGTCGTCGGACTCTGCCAAGCTAACGACGTTCATTACGCCTTTTGGAAGGTACCACTTCAACCGGTTGCCATTCGGCATAACATCAGCGCCCGAGATTTTCCAGGCCCGAGTCTCCGGTCTCCTGGATGGTCTCCCCGGCGTGTCAGTGTACATGGATGACATCATCGTCTACGGCCGCACAATGGAGGAACATGACCGTCACTTGGCAGAAGTCATGCGGGTTCTGGATGCCGCACACATTACGCTCAACAAGGAGAAGTGCCGGTTCAGACAGAGCCAAGTGAAGTTCCTGGGTCACCTGATCACCAACAAGGGAGTATTGCCGAACCCTGCCAAGATCTCAGCTATCACCAGCCTAAAGCCACCCAAAGATGTCTCTGACCTGAGACGCCTGCTTGGAATGTTCAATTTCCTGGCCCGTTTCATACCCAACCTTTCCGAGGTGAGCTCTCCTCTGCGGACCTTACTTCGCGACGACACTGTCTGGAATTGGGCCGAGCCACAGCAGGAAGCATTCAATCGTCTGAAGCAGTTGGCCACAGAGGCCCCGTGTCTGGCGTTCTATGACCCAAGCCGCCCAACAGTTGTCAGTGCCGACGCAAGCAGCTATGGCCTTGGCGCAGTTCTGCTTCAGCAACACGGTACAGACTACCGAGCAGTTGCCTATGCATCTCGTTCTCTCACCGATACCGAACGCGAGTACGCCCAGATAGAGAAAGAATGTCTGGCAGTCGTGTGGGCATGTGAGCGTTTCCACAGCTTCGTATACGGGTGTCCATCTCTCGTCGTGCATACGGACCACAAGCCGTTGATTCCGTTGATTAATACCCGTGACCTCAACAGAGTTCCACTCCGCTGCCAACGTCTGCTGATGAGACTGATGGCATACAACCCCACAGCAGTCCACATACCAGGGAAGAACCTCGTTGTGGCGGATGCTCTGTCACGATCACCTGAGCCATGCACGGAGACACCGTCACTCGATGCCGAGATTACGATCAACGTTGCGGCTTCCATTCAATCCATCGTGTCATCCGGAAAGTCCCGGGAGATTGCCTCTGCCACTGCTGCCGACCCAGTCCTGAACCGTGTCCTGCAGTACATCCGCACCGGATGGCCTAGCTCAGCGAAAGGTCTCGAGCAGGACATACAGCCGTACTACCACGAACGTCAGTTGTTGTCGTGTGTGGACGGAGTGGTCTACCATGGCCCACGTATCGTCATTCCACCCAGCATGCGCTCCGCTGTTCTCGCTTCCCTGCATGACGGGCATCTGGGAGTGTCCAAATGCAAGGCACGCGCCAAAGATTCCATCTGGTGGTCTGGCCTCAGCAAGCAGATTGAGAACATGGTTGCCACGTGCCCCACCTGCACGAAACACCGCACACAGCACCGGGAGCCCCTCAAGCCGGTTCCACGCCCAGCTCTGCCCTGGAGCACGATTGGCTGTGACCTCATGGAGCACAGAGGAAAGTCGTACCTTGTCGTCGTTGACTACCTATCTCGCTACCTAGACGTAATCCCCATGACGTCCACCACATCTGCTCGTGTCATCGCACACTTGCACAGTCTATTTGCCGTTCACGGGATTCCAGACACAGTGGTCTCCGACAACGGGCCGCAATTCGGCAGTGCCGAATTTCGAAGTTTTGCCACATCGTATGGTTTCACACACCGAACGTCAAGCCCGCAGTACCCGCAATCTAACGGCGAAGCGGAACGAGCTGTACGCACCGCCAAGGGTCTTCTGGAGAAGAATACCAGCTTAGCAGACGCACTCCTCGCTTACCGTGCTACGCCATTAGCAAACGGGTTCGCACCAGCTCAGCTTCTATTCGGTCGCCGCCTCCGGACAACACTGCCAGTCACTGCAGAGCAGCTAAAACCGGAATGGCCTGATCTGACCGCCGTCGCTGAGAAAGAAGCAACTCAACAAGACCGTCAGAAAGCAGACTTTGATCGGAGGCATGCAACACTCCCCCTCCCTGTGTTGCAACCAGGAGACAAGGTTTGGCTAGCTGACACTGGTGCGGAAGGCACTGTGCTGGAACAGCTCAGTGACCGCTCGTATCGTGTACGCATCGGGTCTTCGGGAGCAACGCTTCGAAGGAATCGGCACCATTTGATCCAGCAACCATCAGCACCACCGGTCGACACTGATGGCCCTGTGTGTAATGCCCAGCCAAATGCAGCCGAGCCAGATCGACCAATTCGTCACAATCGTGGCCAGCCAGCGCGGCGTCTCATCGAAGAGTGTTGACTCTCTACAGCTGACGTATCCCGGCTACTGTGCACATAGACAACCTATTGCACATGTATCATTCCGACTACCTACATTATTTGTTTTGTTGCACCTACCTTTCTCTTCTCCTTTCCCTCTTTCTTCTTTTAGGTTACTTTGTATGAGCCTTTTGTCTCAGAAGGGAGATGTAGTGATGCTTTATGCACTCACCTTATTTAGTATACACATTACCCGTATGGGGTTACCCGCACATCCAGAGTGCATGACCTGGTTACCCTAACTGGGCCTACTTGGTGCCCGTAATGGCTTGGTCACCTTGCCTCTCTGGCATGCATGGATATCTTGCTGTTCATCTTTAGTTTCATGGTTCTTTGTCTAAACGAGACATCCGAGTGGTAATGGACTGAGTGTGCTGGTGACTGTGTAGTCACTACAATTGGCGTCACGCCATCGTGGAATAAAAGAATAATAATTGATTCAAGGAGGCACTTTTGATCCACAGCACGTTGGTGCATGCAAATCTGTCCGGTCAATAAAGGATTCCGCTTGGTACAGGGTCCGGCAAACGCAGGTTTTACGGCACTTGCTTTAGGGAATCTAAAACTATCTAAATCAGGCTACACACTAGGGTCCTTCAAACTCGTTATGGACGGTGTTCCGCAAGCACATACATCGATGTACATTGTCCATGTACTATCATAATTATTGTTAGATTGACAGCATGAAACAAGGTGGAGGTCACAGAGGACACTGCTGTCAATCTAACAATATGCGTGAACTATAACAAGGTTTATCTAATACTACTAGTTCTGAACTAGTACTAGTAGTAGTAGTACAATGTCATGTATTAGGTTGTTACATGTATAATAATACCATGTACTATTTATTTATTTATTCACAATCACGTGGCACTAGCCAATGAAATGGTGATGTGGGCGATAGCCAGCCATGGCGGTAATAGAGCTAGAGGGGAGAAAGAAAAAGAATGAAAGGGGAACTGAAAAGCAGGAGAAGCTAGGGCAGGGCTGGATATCAACTAGTAGTATGTTGCATTCTGCAGTACTATCATGTACATGTAGGTAGTACAGTACATGATTGTATGTAAGAGCTGAAAGGCCTGTAAGGTTTGAAGGCTTGCTTTTCGAGTTAGTTGAGTTAGTTGTACTGTGTTTCTTTGCTTTGCTTTTTTCTCATCGTTGCACAAATAAAAGCGGTTCTGAGAATGTTACCAAGGTTACTTGTGGCTTTGGTCGCTACGACTGCAGCAGGTAGCTGTAAACAGTGCACTAGTGTAAGCCTAAATAGGCTGTATCATGTGTATGTGAAGTGAGTCAGTACACCATGCATGCATGGTGTACTGACTACTGTAAGGCCTACTACTAGTACTAAGGCCAGTCAGCTAGTAAGGGAGTAAGGGGTTAGGAGGAGCACAGGCGGTACGCGGTGTACATCACTCATCAGTGGTAGATGGTGCTAGAGACTACTGGGTACTGCCATCGTCGACTACTTGGTCACTCTTGCCGTCTTTGGTCCTTTTAGTTTGGAGCAAAGGAAGTGTCTGCCGGTAAGTTACTGTTGCTAGTTAGCAGCTCAACCTGTGCTACAGACTCTGTTTGAGAACGGGTTTGTTCACAAAGCCAATTGTGCGGAATCATGAGCCTCAGTGAGAACCAAAGCAGCTACCGACTGCTAGCGTTACAAAACCTGTAACGCTAGCAGTCGGTAGCTGTTTTGGTTCTCACTGAGGCTCATGATTCCGCACAATTGGCTTTGTGAACCATTGTACCTATTGCTATTTTTGGTGTGTATAGAGCTTCGAGTCAAGTACATGTACCTGTTGGTGTACCTCACACAGGTCTGCGTGGCAGTATCACTTGTCAGTGTCAGTGTCAGTGAGGATACCTGGAATGGATACTGAGAGTGTATGACGGAATGCCAGCCTCATACATGTACAATGCACATGTATGTCCTGAGACTGTGACTGTGAGAGCAACTCTACTTCTTCTGACTGTGCATGAACTTACTGTACGTCAATAATGGTAAGCTTATACGAGCCAATGAATATTATAGGACAGTCTCGCACATATTGCACTACATGCACATTATAAAAACGTTATCTATAAGAAGAATTCTTAATCTTAGTTTGAACTTGCCATTACCTGGTGCCAGTGGTGGGACTGTAGTCACTGTACGCTGTGCACTCTGCCGGTTTGTTCCATAATCCTCCAGTTGTGCACAGCCTGTAATATCCAGACCGTGCGTGCGTGCAGAGGCTCACATGGCCTCCGTACGCGGCCGTAGGCAACGTTCTAACACTGGTCTGTATACTACTGGTCTGTATTATAGTGGATATCACAGGTAGCCCTTTCTTTCCCAAAGCAAAGGTCCTCGCCCCTTTTTCGCCCTTTTTGGAAAGGCCCGTTTCTTTCGTCCTTTATTGCGTTATTTGGTGAATATCGCCCTTTTGAGCTTTTTGAGCTGAAAAAGTGCTAAAATCTGTTTGCTCATGCATGCGATCACAGTTTTCGAGTGCTCGATGGGCCTTGGCACGCCGCATTTTTGGGGGGCAACAAGTAACAAAGTGGTGAAGCTTGTACCCGGTGTACACAATGCTGGGGTTTTTGAACTTTACTTCCTGTTTTGCCTTTCGTGGACCCATAAATGGAAGAGTTCGTATTCATTTCTCAGGTTGGGTTCATACATGTATCTGAACATGTACATGTATCATGGCTATGCTAAGTATGCTTCACTGAAAAAAGAGCACTTTTGCCTGTTTTTTACTGAAAAAAGAGCACTTTTTCAGCATAATTATTTTGAGGAACGCGAAAAGCACTAAGTGCGAATTAAAAGAGCACCTTTGGGAAAGGGCTAATCACGGGGCTGGATATCACAGGTCATGATACCCATGACTGGGCTGGATATCGCAGGTCAGGATACCCATGACTGGCCCACACTGCCATGCCAGAGTACCACATGACAGAACTTGGAACCAATTAGGCCTTGACAGATTATGCTAGCATAATTCTTCGCATAATTCCTACCAAAATCGAATACTCGCATAATTCGAGGCAAATTGCATACGTATCGCATAAAATTGGAATAATCCGCCTGTTCGCATCAAATTCCATACAGTTGTACAATGTTCTACAAGTACAAGTAGATGCACCAGGAAGTCGTAGGTTTACGACTCCCTTGAAAACATGTCCAGCCCACTACAATCAGTGATGGTCGTAGCTAGGTCGGACGGTGCGTTGACCCCGTTGAACTTTTGCTACTGCAGTACAACGCCCTCTACAAAAAATTCCCCTGTTATTTTGCACAGAACCATTATACATGTACATTAGCAGCATATGTGAGCATAATGCGGCATAATATGATGACTTTTAGCATAAAAGAGCATAATTCTGCAATTTTTTCAGCAATGCGAAAAGCATAATTTCATGAAAATATTAGCATAATCTGTCAAGGCCCAGAACCAATTGGCTGTACAGGCTGGATAGTGAATGAACGTACACAACAAATGATCGCCATCATTGCCATCGGCAATTATATTTGGGCTCAAAAGCTATGACGTCAGAAGTCAAAATCTAAATTCATCAATAATAAATTAAATGACAAATACGGACATATGAATCCACTCCGCCCATGGCGAAGTACAGGGTGTGGTGGGTGGGCCCCTTGTGTGGTGTTTCTGTACCAGGAGTGGGTCCCTGACAGGGAGGGCCCAGTCCAGTCACTACAGGCGGATGTATCACCCTGCTGTGAAGGAATTTGAACCACCCAAACGTGTATTGATCCATACAAAAACTGGATCAATGTGGATACAAAAATCATCGTTGTCATGACTCCCAGCTGGCTGTTATGTAACACTTTCAAGCTCTAGGGGTATCTGCACGACTTTTAGAAGGTGCTTCGTAGTGTCACACCGTCCGGCATAGCACAATATGTTACATCTGCATGTCACTGGCCAATACCGTGCAATCTCAACTGATTACGGAGAAAACTGGGAAACTGCAAAGGTGGCTCGTTAATCTCTCCGATTTTCCTCAAATTTGCAGGAAGATTGAATCATTTTGGATTGACATAATTCTATCTTCTGCTACTACTTATGCAACAACCATGCAACAGATTCGTTGCACAGCTTACTTGCGGACACCTTGGAACTGGGGATACCTAGAAATGTGCCCAAAAACGCAACTGAATTTTGGGACCCAAAGCCAAGCGCTGGTAAATCATACAAGTACACGACAGAACTCAGAAAAACACCATCATAATGCCAACACTTCCTCACTTGCCAAGGTAGTGCTGACATCGCCACCACACTCAGCCATGCCTACTCGTATAATATAATATGAGTAGGCATGGCTGAGTGTGGTGGTGATGTAATATTATCCTGGAGGGCAGTGGCCATCATCTCCAGATGTTACTAATTTGCATCACGAAAACAGCCCAACTTCAAGTGCCACAATGGGAACGGGGAATATTCTCAATCTGTTGCAACTCAGACGTTCATGTCAATCTGTTGCAACCCACGATTCACTATCAATTCTAGTCTCTTTGCTACGTGCAGTATCACTGTATAATATTCTGTTCTGGGTTGCTGAATGAAGAGAGCTAAGCAGCCAATCATTACGGTAGGTCACATTTTATTTTCTCGCTCCGTCACCATTGTCGTGTACATTGTACATGTACATGTACATGTACATGTACATTTCCACGCAGGCCGCTTTAGACAGTTTGCTATTTGAGTATTTCCATAGGAACCAGGGCCCTAGCGGGCAGGCAAAAGTAAGGGTAAAATTTACACGTGCAGTCGTGCAGTAGATACTCTTTATTGAACTAACTAATTACTTACTTACTTACCAGATCAAGACGAGACTTGACAAGAGGAGATCAGTCTGTTTGTGCTTGCAGAATAGAGAGTTCCGCACGACACTCGACAGTAATCATCCAGGCCAGCTACGAAGACCTAAGTCCTTAGCTCATGCATGCCTGGAGCGCAGGGCACGCATCACTCGTCCACGGTGCATGTCATGTTCGTGTACTTCCGGTGCCAAACCTTGGCCTGCATGCACCCATGGGGCCACTGGGGTCGTGGAGGCCAGCAGTTCAAAGGTGCGTTGGGCGAGGTTTTTTGCCATGATTAGGGCCCAGTGTCGGCGATCACTTCAGCCTAGTTCAGGATGGAACTGACCTGCACAATACTGCAGCAACGACGTGCTTCCCCGCTGCATAGTCTGGCTTGGTGCATACCCACCGCAGGCACTGTGCTGGACTACTAGTACTAGCTCTTTCTTGTCCTTGCTTTTGCCCCACAATGCACTACACGGGCCCGCTTTTGTCGTTTTGAACGGTCACACAAGAGCACTAGCGAAGTCTGCTGCCTGTGTGAAGATAACTGAAGATATTGACCAGCCTTCAAACGTACGGCCTGCAAGGCTTGTTTTGGGCTGTTTCAAGCCTTTCGCTCTAGTGTCGTCAGCTTACCTGCATGAGCGGGAACGAGAAAAAGTCTGAAAGTCTGCCAACCTCTTCCTCTCCGCTGCCAAAAGTCGAAAAGCCTGATTGAGTTCGATAGTGCAACGTTTCAAAGCACTGCGACGAAACGACGTTACGTCCTGCTACTGTGCTGTGTGAGAGGCCTAGCTGCCACGGTCCTCGCCGACTCTTCGGCCAAGGACCGCGATCAGATCGCATACTGTAACACATTGTGACACGGTGACAAACTCGAACGTTAGTATCAGTACTAAAATTGGTAGCAATGGGGAACTGCTTGTCAAAGCGTCACGGCAGTCTAACTTTGGACCACACTGCCAGCGCCAGTAGCCCCACTGCCAGTGGCATGGTTGACATAGGGACAGCTGCTGCTGCTGGTGGTGATAATGATACTGGAACTGGCGGTAGAGATAGCAACAGTCCTCGACCGAAGCATAGTCCGTCCACCTCGGCTTCAAGTTCTAGCTGCAACGTGGGAGCAACGACGGGTACGGGCAGCGTAGAGGGTGAGGGACCGGGAGCGCAAGACAGCGGCGGCCACGGCATGACTTCTGCTGGTGTCTGTGTGGAGAGAACACATGCTACCAACCCAGAGTGTCAGCAACCACGCAGCGACCAGGGGAACTGCAAAGAATATGACGTGGACACTCCTCTGGTCGCCGATTCCAGTGACATGAACGTCATGAAGACTGAAGACGAGAGCAAAGATCAAGCAGTGACCCTCATAGAAATAGCAAAGGGAGCGAAGTATGAGGAGAATGGCTACAAGCAAGCTGAGTAAGTACATTGTACCCTGTTATGTTCACAATTGTGTACATCATGTATAATGCTCCGAAATCTCTCTTCATGCCAAGTATAGGGCTGAAACGATTGTACGGATTACTCGGTAATTGCAACAAAAATAGTTTAAAGGGGAAGTTAAGGCAAAAATTAAAATTTCACCAGTTGTAGTCTTCGGGGTGCTGAGTCGAATGGTCTTGGTCCGAGAAAGCTGAGACGCTCCCTTCCTACTTGAATCCCAATCGAACTCGCGCACTTCCACCGAAACTGGGTGACTGCGCCCTACTAGATGGGGATTTGTATGCAAAATGTCACTAAAAGCGCCGTTTCGTTCTTATAAAAGCACGGATGACCGCGATTGGCTCATATGTTGTAGTCTTTTGGACGCTGCGTCGACTGGTTTTGGTCCGAAAAGGCTGCGATGCAGCGTTCCTCCTTTATTCCCAATCGAACATGGTTGAAGAAGCGGTCACGTGCTCCTGCGTACACCAGTCAGCTGGTCACCGTGCCTGCAGGGTACAACTTACTAGCCTGTTTGACCTTTTTTGGGTGCAGTCCTGTCACTCGAGTTGAACCTTGGTGTGAAAGTTGTCGCCTGCTGGCGTGGTGACCAGGTGATTTGGGCACCCAGGAGCACGTGACCACTTGTTCAACCATGTTCGATTGGGAATAAAGGAGGAACGCTGCATCGCAGCTTTTTCGGACCAAAACCAGTCGACTCAGCGTCCAAAAGACTACAACATATGGGCCAATCGCGGTCATCCGTGCTTTTATAAGAACGAAATGGCGCTTTTAGTGACATTTTGCATACAAATCCCCATCTAGTAGGGCGCAGTCACCCAGTTTCGGTGGAAGTGCGCGAGTTCGATTGGGATTCAAGTAGGAAGGGAGCGTCTCAGCTTTCTCGGACCAAGACCATTCGACTCAGCACCCCGAAGACTACAACTGGTGAAATTTTAATTTTTGCCTTAACTTCCCCTTTAATGTCCAGAACGTTTTCTTGTCAATCATCAGTGGCACATCGTGATTAAAGGGGAAGTGCATCGATTTTTCGAGTAGGGTCCAGAAGAAAGACAATTTGATATCGGTTCGAATGGCATATCTCTCGCTTCCATACGATAAGCCAAACTTGCCAAATCACCAATTGTATGCTCACGTTGCCATAGCGACCAGCGCAGTGATGACGTATGAAAGGCTTAGCTCCTCCACAGAGAAGGTCGATCACTGCAGAAATTGGTCATTTTCAATTGTCTTATTGTATTCATGATGTGAAAGAAGTGCTGTGTTCAATGCTGTTAGTGCCGTGAACTGTTTATCGCCCTTCTCATGCATTTTCCTAGGCTGACTGTGCCTAGGAAATGGTTTCCTCCAGGACAAGATGCTTGGAATTCGGCATCTCTCCTGAGACATTTTCAGCAAACTTTCAAACCTACGACATTATTTCATTCGTCAATCTCCACCATCCGTCGTCTCACCTGGCTTCAGAAGATGTTACGAGAGATAGGAGAGTCGCCAGGAAGCATCACATTCATCTTCAGGAAGTGGAAAGAGCAAACGGCATGGTCCTTGGTTGGGGGAAATGCTGAACGTCTGATTTGTCCCAACCAAGATTTCAGCATTTTGTTCGTCACTATTTTCGCTTGTCTGCTGGTGTCTCCGCACTCCAGCTTTCTCCTATCGGTGTCACGTCCCAGTACACAATCGAGAGGACTACTAACAAACAGTTCACTGCACTAACAGCATTGAACACAGCCCTTCTTTCACTTCGTGAATACAATAAACCAATTGAAAATGACCAAATTCTGCAGTGATCGACCTTCTCTGTGGTGGAGCTAAGCCTTTCGTACGTCATCACTGCGCTGGTCGCTATGGCAACGCGAGTATACAATTGGCGATTTGGCAAGTTTGGCTTATCGTATGGAAGCGAGAGATATGCCATTCGAACCGATATCAAATTGTCTTTCTTCTGGACCATACTCGAAAAATCGATGTACTTCCCCTTTAAAGGGAAAGAGGAAACAACCTATGCCACTGATGATTGTGACAAGAAAACGTTCTGGACACTTAAAACTATTTTGGTTGCAATGCTTGTGATACGAGTGTGTATTTGATATTCACGGTTCATCGCTATGCTAAGATTGTTATCTCCACACCGCCTACTCAGTAGTTGATCGATAATTCCAAACAATCAACTAATCCTCTAATGAAGTCTATGCATCCACGCCGTCCAAACCAGTCTAAAAGAACACACAAAATATATTTATTAAGGAACCAAACGTTTACGTTCCTTTCTCATCATGGGCTCATACAAGAAATAGTGAAGTGACCTTAACAGCAACTATGTGGGCAAGGAAATGGGGGAGATAACCATCATGTTTCGATATCCGTCTGTTCTATTCGCAGCACCTAAGCCTATTGCCTCTGTGTATCTGTTGTATTCTTCTATTCATGTTATGTTTACCATTGTTGCCTATCGCCCCCCCCCCCCCCCCCCCCTCTCCACACCGTAGGCTACATTGGACACTATATCCTGGCCGCCATCAAGAGTACATATCCCCCAAGTGTGTGCAACTGCCTGCACAGCCTCTATGCTGTGCTGCGACGGCAGAACTTCACATCACGTGACATGGTTCAAAAGGTTATGCTGGAAACAGTGCAAAGTGACCACAAGAGAGTTAACCCTGTATCTATCATGCACAGAGTGGAAACAGTGCAAAGTGACCACAAGAGAGTTAACCCTGTATCTATCATGCACAGAGTGGAAACAGTGCAAAGTGACCACAAGAGAGTTAACCCTGTATCTATCATGCACAGAGTGGAAACAGTGCAAAGTGACCACAAGAGAGTTAACCCTGTATCTATCATGCACAGAGTGCAAACAATGTGTACAGGTTCATCACGACGCGATGTGAAGTTCTGCCATCGCAGACCCCATAGCTGGAGTTGCACACTCTAGGGGGTTATGTACTCTTGCCGCCATGGGAAGGTGTAATGGAAAATCGCAGTACTAGCCACAAACGAAAATTATCTCGATTTGCTGAATAGGGATTGTGATTGGGATTGGTTTGGCTGGATTGCACGGTTACACGGATCCCCATACACTAACAACTCTGAGCGCTTTGCTCTGGGATTGCAGGGTGTTCCGTACGCAGTTCATGATATCATTACAGACTGATCTGACTTGCTTCCACGGGGGTGTCATCAGGCAGAGGGGAGTTGTACAACTGGGGTTGGGGGAGGGGGGGGGGGGGGCAGGGTATCCCTCAGGGAAAAAAACGAATATTTGGCCAACAGGGCGCGTTTACTGAGCACTCTAGGTTCAGGCACTCTGGCGGGCTGGGTGGACCGTCCTGGACGAAAAGTGGTACAGCCATGGTTGTACTGGTTGAACCATGTGTGACTAACCCTGTTCCAAGCATATCTCTACCTAGGAAAGATAAGATCCTGATAGGGCAAGGGTGGTTTAAGCTTGCGCCCATATGCCCATAACTTGTGCCCAGGGACGCGCAGAATGAATGGTAGGAATCACTAGGGAAACCACTACCTTAGTCAAGTGAGATGGAGACCGTAAAGATGACCATCCAGCCGGTAAACCGTGAACCCTCGTGGATGTGCTTGTGGTAGGAACTTTCGATTTTATAATCGGTGATGTGTTCTATCGCATGTAGGATCACAATTCCAAAGCAAAAAGCTTGGAACTGTTCGTGAGAATCTATGCTATCCGACCAATCCAATCAGATCCAATCTACATGTATTGGACATATCGAGAAAACAGTCCCCGTTATTTTCACTCCATCGTCAAAGGCAAAAAAAGACGTTTGACTGGTGTAGGGTTTGCTTGCTGTTTGTACTGCTTGTGCTGGGTTTTTCAAGCTCTCTGCAGGGAGCGTTATAACCCTAGCGGCGCCGCAGTACTGAATTCTACATTCTATCGCTTCTTTTGCTTCTTTTGGGTGCTCTTAGATTATTTCCAGCAACTTCTGAAAGTGCACCAACTGCTTTGTCTGAAGATACCGAGGACACCTTAAACGACGAAGCAGCAGCAACAGTAGCTGAAGTGGTCAGCGGAGGAGCTGGCAATATTCCCCTGCTAATTGTAACAGATGCTTCAAACACTAGCACCACAAACACCGAGTCATCGGAGAATGAGAATCACTCGCGATCTCTGTCCCTCACAAACCAATTCCATGACTCTCTTCAGGAAGCAGAGGCCAACGGAACTGAAGACGATATTGAACCTTGCAACTCCTGTGAGCCACCGGATGTGACTCACCATGTTGAGCAGCCTGCCGAAGAGCTTGGCAATCAGAATGGAAATGCTGAGGCAGCAGTGGAGGATCATGCTCAAGCCGCTTTGCAACAGTCCGAGTCCCCTGTTGCCAGTGATCCTGGTCAGGTGGATATACCAGTGCCTGACACTGCACTTGCAGCTGTGGACGATGCCTGCTCGGGTGACGTTGATCTTGGTGAGGTGCGCGAGGCAGTGACGTCTACACCTGCACACTGTCAATCACCTAGCCCTGAGGCAATGGATCTCATACCTGCAACAAATTCTGAGATATGTGATGACTGGTGATGAACATGGATTGTGGGCACATTACACACTGTTCAGCACATCCCAGTCTCGCTTTTTGCTCGTTTGCTCTGCCAACAATGGGAAAGACTTCACGTCCACCATGAAACACAGACGTGATTGTACCAAGCAAGATCCGTTCATTGCTGGTGATAACGCTGCTCCGCCTATGACTCTGGACTATTTTTCCACTCACAGCATGAAGATATACTCCTCTTTAGATTCAAGCCATCCGCCTTGTCGAAATATTATTCGACATGGCTTCACATCTGCTTCTTCCGAAGTTGTGAAGTTCAAGAACTTCATCATATACATGTATATGCCCATTGTACCTGAAGTAAAAAAAAAGAGAAGGTGAATGTTACATTCCTGTCCCATTCACTCATGTGTCGATGCAGCAGAACGATCAGCAGGACGATCCAAGTAGTTTTAAATTGCCAAACATTTTCGTTATACACTTTAAACTAGTGTAAGGGTAATGCTGTCGTCACTCTGAACTCTGAACTCTGAACTCTGAACTCTGAAGCTTGTGTGGCGGCTTGGATGATACTTTGGAGGGGAAGGCAACACCTTTTTGTTCACTCTCTCATCGCGCCTACAGTATTCTCTGTATGCCCCTCACACCATGTACACCTTTCTAGAATGAGGTCAACATCATTGTTCAGGAGATGACCAGTCAGCAAAGTTCCCATCAAGGGTCAAATCAAATGACTCAAGCCCGGCTCAGTCGTAATCTTGCTATGCTTTGATTATGCGTACAGGGCCTTGGATTCGTTTCAAGCCTGCTCAATTGTAATTTTACTACTCTTTCATGGCGGAGTCATGACATTAGAATAGTGGATGCACTCCACAAAGGTGTGCACACCTTTGTGCATGCCTTTCTGTACACTGAGGATCCTTTTACAATGCTGCACAGTGTAAAACTGATAACTACACCGTTCAGACATGTGTGCAGTACATGCAGTTTGATCTGTATGGGTTTCACTATTTGTCCGAAGCTAGCTAAATCCTTATAAAAAATGGCATGGAAACAATCATTTGAATAAGACTATGAACAGAAACAAATGTGCCCTCATAAAAATGTGCAAAAGTGAGCAAGGATGGTCTTCTGTTTCCTGAGGACGTTTCCGTTGTGATTCGTTTTTTGATTGCGAATTTGTGATTTATTCCAACGGACGGATATCGCAAGAAAACATTCTTGGAAACACAAGACCGGCATCCTTGCTTACATGTATGCACATACATGTATTCATGAGGTGGCATGTGAAACTGTTCATAGTTGTGTTCTTAGTTGTATTCAAAACCCCAAGAGCGTACGCATATTGGATACCAACATGTTGCTTTCAAATTCCCTAGAATGGAAAATGACATTCACAACAAGAGCACAACATTTCATTTACTTCAATTCTCTTTGCACTCAGCCCACAATACTGCACAAACCTAGAGTATACGAGCACCTTTTTTTTCCTTTGAGTTACAATTAATTGTTGTAACCCGGCATGCGGACCGTAGTAGAGTAGTAGAGTGCTGTGAGGATGTATGGATATAATGGGGGTTGCTTCTGTGCAGACTTTTCAGGAGCGGGAAGTGGGCATTGCTTCCTGGATATGAGCCGCTGTCACTTCTCTATGTCATGCCGCAGGCCATCCAACTTGTCTTGAGCGGAATGCTTTTTAGCTCAGGTTGTCAACAATGATTCCGAGCAGTGCGTCTTAACCTCAGTTTAACTGACGGTGTAGTTGAGGCACGGCAGCATACCAACAAGGAGAACTCATTGCTGAGACCACTCCGCACCCGTCACAGCAAGTAACATGCTCCAGCCAGAGTAGGCTGTGTTTACTAAGAACCCATGTTTCCATCGGGAATCTCGCTCCGTGGTCAGATGTTCTACCAGGCAGGTAGCAGAAAGTCTTTTCACCCACCTAGAATGAATGTGTACGTGTACCAGTATGTGCAGAATGTGTCATGGCAATCAGGCCAGCACTACAGAATGTGTTCACACTTTCAACTGTACTCGCGCATACACGCATACACGGACACGCATGCACACACACACGCACACACACACACACACACCACCTCAGACCTCAGACCTGCCCATCGCGGAAGCGATGATAGCGAACAGCTATGTTAGACATAGCAACTTGTGCTGGGATCGCACCATTCTACAGCTTGCAAGGCTGATGAATTGACCGCCACTATTTTTAGCCTGGTATCCAAAATGTACTTGACTACAAACTCAGTACAAAGTGATCAAAATATTATACAAATTTATCACTCTCTTAGTATAGACTCCCATTGATTTTCGCTACTGTAAATATACAAAATGTCGGCGCTTCACGATTTTTGGCATTTCGGCGGCGATTTATTTTCGGCGTGGGGTAGAGGGCATGGTATAGTGCGACAGATGCTGTGAAAAAATTCATCGGCGTTTTAATTTAGGCGTTTTGGGTCGGTGCCGAATAAAGCCGAAATTAAATAGCTGCCGAAAATTTGTATATTTGTATACCTAAGCAGTCAAATATTCCTGCATATTTCACTCCTTAGGGCTATATTAAATTTTTACTTCTTATATTTGACTGCTCATGGGTTGCGCAGTTGAACGGTGCCTGCAGCATGGTCACTGTATGAGTACTCAGAGTAGGTGATCAGGGTGATCATGGTGATGGTGCAACCGTTGTGCAATCATAAAACCAGGATTCATGAGGTAATCGTTCTGGAATTTGAAATACCGGCTGTTTGTCGTGATAAATCTAATATTGACTTCGTACTTGATCAGTATACGAAATAAAGGCCTTGTACTCAGTCAATATTAGATACGTAGCAGGTAGCAGATGCATGTAACTGCTTGTCATAAGCAACCGAATGAGTGGCATGAAGTCCAGCAAAACGCTACTTCTGAATTGCTGCAACTATTACGCATTGTCAAGTACAGTAGCCGTTGATTCCAATTCTAGTTTTACATGTCCTCAGCGGCTGAGGACCTCACTAACTCTGAACAAGTAACTATCCAGTGGTCAAATACACAATCAAGCGTGCAGTACTTAGCCGAGCAAAATAAAAATGAATGCTGCACATGTAACTTGTCTAATGTTGTATGGCACAATATTATTGACTATTATTGATTTTTCCAATTGTCCGCAAACTCCAACGCAGCCACTTACACAAGTATTATTGACTTGTTCGGTTCAATTATCTAGGGCCAACTTGTAACAGTGCAAATTGCCATTCTTTTCACCTGTTTCCAAAATGCTTCTCTCCCTCAGCAGCGAATATAGTGCTCTCTTCGTTCTCTTCTTGATCGCCGGTTCGCACCGTCCCGTTCCGAGGTCACCACCTTCAATGAGAACGGTTATTTCCCGTGCGTTGCTGAGGTTTGGTGGGTGGTCTCTCAATTTTCTCATCGTCTCCAGCACTATGCTCTTAAACTCTGGGTCGCTCAGTAACACTAATTCGTCAGCTTTGGAGTGCTGCTTGGCAGCAGTAGTAGCAGCAGCAAGAGCAGGATGCTCAGTAAGGCAATTATGGGGTTCTGTAATGGCAGACTGTAGACGTCGTGCGAGACCGTCAAAATGACATCTGTACAGCACAGCTAGGAAGATCACAAGTGGACTCTTGCTACTATACGCATTCTCACCGTCCGTTTCGATCAGCTTTTGGGTCTTCTCCTCCACTTGTCCCAGCAAGATACGCATATGATCGATCCTAGTGTCTTGCTTATGGCTTGCCTTCAGGTAACATTGGGTAGCTTCATGCTCCGACCCTACTGCTAACTCAAAGAACCCGAACTCCTTCAATCTGTCAATGATTGAAGCCACATCGCCGGTTCCCTTCGTGACTTCATCCAATATATCGGTCCAGCAATTCTGAACACAGGCAATTGGCCGTGTACACCTGGATTCTTTGATGTCAGCTGCTAATTTGGTCGGAACGAATCCATGCGATATTTCTGCACCAGCACCTTCTTCAACCATTGATCATCCAGACTCAGCTTTCTTAGCCGCCTGCGGTCTGCATTTCTTCTGAGAAGAGGACATAGCGATCCGTGTCCTAGTTGCTGCTCCAGACGTTGATAACACTGCAACAAATGTCCGTGTAACCTCCTAGTCTGTGCAGCGTTTTATTCCAAGGACGACATAATTATTACGGCTTTCGCACTAGCGC